AACTGGACCGTGGCGGACCCAACCAAACCATGCTAAATCTAGCACTAGATCAACAGTGAGGCTCGGTTATCTGATAAAAGTGAGCATGAGCAGATGTGTCATCTTCTATTTAAGGTCAGCCGACTCATTTTGAAGGTTTTCCTGTGTGTCCGGCTTTATAATACACAGATCTATTCACCTGTTTACAACACAAACCTCTTCTCAGCCTATTTACAATAAATGGCATCAAAAGAGCATGGTGCGACCTGGGCTGACGCCGAGGCTCTCATTAAAATTTGGGAGGCGGATGCTATCCAGATATATCAGTTCCTGAATGTTATAGGCGCTGACATTTTTGTTTTCGTAATTCCTCTGATAGGAGGTGAGGAACCGTGCTAGCGTGATGTGTAAATCGCTGTAAGGAACAAAGCTCAGCAACTGATTTAAGCTCGGTCTGAACTTTGCACAGATTGGTTTAGGAGGGGAAGTGTAAATGGGGCATAAGTTTGAGCTTTGACAAGTTTTCGTGTCAAAAGGAGGGCAGTTGTTCTTTTATAAGGATTAGAAATGGCTAAATTGTTCCAGTTTTTCACAAATGAGAGATAAAGTTTATATTTATGAAACCCTCTGAAGGGTTTTAGTCAAGACTGAAGCAAAGAAACAGATGGAATTTAAAATGAACAGGGAAAAGCCAACAATTGTTCTTTTAGACTCAAGATCCTCTCATGCTCTAAAACCAGCCTGACATCTGCAGGAAGACAAGCTAAAAGACTTATATGCTACATTCAGAACTCAATTGATTTAAGCAGCCGTTTTAACTGCAAAGTCAATGTTTGATGCGCATTAAAAGGTCCTGCAGTGCGTCACGACCAGCGCATCTCGAAGCATCTGAGCAGCGGCTCATGAGCTTCTGAGGCACATGCTGGAGTTGGAAAATTTAACTTTTGCTGCTCGGTGCGCCACATCAACCAATCAGAGAAGCTGATCTGGGAGCTGGCAGGGAGACGGACCCAGCGCTGCTGATGCAGATAACTATGATCACTCCCATGAAACAATTTAAAAATGCCTAAATTAACTTAAAATGTCGAAGCCTGTCAGCAAAATATGTTTGATTTTATTATTCTGGTGCCTGCAGTTTGTACCGCACTGCAGGTATGTGGGGGTCTGTCCAGCTCCAACAGCAAAATAATATATTAAGGCAGGATCATGTTTAAGGCATAATGTTTTGAGGTGGAATTTCTCCCTTAAAAATATATTAAATCCCATTTTTTACCCACTTATCACAGCAAATATGGTAAAGCTGCTCTCTGCCATAAACATGGGAGCAGCAGAAGCATCAGATGCATCTGGACACACTTTACTGGACGCACTTCAGGAGCGTCAAAGATGCTCTAGAGGCGCGTCTGACCTTAATGTGTACAAGCGGCAAAAATGAAGCAGCAGGCGCTTTTTTTTTGCAGCTCAAAGCGTATCCGGTGTGAACGTATCATTAGATCTGTCCTTGAGCTGCATTCCTAACAATTCAGAGCGTGTACCGATAAATGTCAGCAAGCAGCCTCACCGAACTCATCTTCCATGGCCATAATGATCTCCACCTGGTCCAAGCTGTCCAAACCCAAATCTTTCATGAAATGGGAGGTTGTTTGAAGCTGGAGGACAAAAATGACGTAATTAGAAAACTTCACAGATCTGAATCACTGCATCATGGCAGGTCTGGTCAAAGGTATGCATAGAAATCTAGAAAATACTCAAATTAGGGATGACACAATCTGATATCAATAAGTAAAAGCTGATACAGTGATGCTGAGGAAAGACTCCACTCCTGTTTAAAATGTAGATGTTCTCATACCCATTTTTGTTCTGTTCATTAAATAATCTGATTGGGCTTTATGATACCCTACAAAACATTTGTAATAAAAGTACGTATAATATATGCTGGTACTATATCGGGTCAGTATTTGTATAATATCAGAAATGGAATAAAGTTGTCGGGACATCGCTTTATGATTTCATAACAGGCACAGCAGAGACCCTTTGCATGCTAGCAATAACACTCACCTTCTCTGGGTTGATCTTGTCGTAGAGTTTAAGTACATACATGACACGGTCTTTAATGGTTTCTATGGTGAGAGGAGGCAGGTCGCCATACTGTCGGCAAAACACTCCCACTGATGAGATCTAAAGAGAGCCAGGAGGAAAAAATATGTTTAAATCTCAGGATGGAAAGTCAGACAACATTTCAATATAAAATAAAACTCTGAGAAATTAGTTAATATGTAACTCTAGCAAATGATTTTGAACACAATCATTCCTAACCAAAACAAAGTTGAAAAGTTCAAAAATCCTATCATTTTCCAATCATTAAAAACACACATTTGGTATCGATTGTCAGATGACAATATTTATCACTTTGGCAGTCTGTATTCTGCCTTTATTTCATTGCACCCATGCCATTTATTTAGCAATACATTCACAGCAGAAGATATATATATACACACACACACACACACACACACACACACACACCTGTTCTAATGCAGTTATAGCATTTCACATAATTGTTTATAAAAAGATTGGCTTGTGAAAAACTAACAGAAAAATGAGTTTAGAGAGTCTCAAGAGTGAAATAACTAAGAATTAGAAACAAAGACAACTAAAGACACATTAGATCTACATATAATTAAATCCTGGCAATTATATATTTACTTCAAGTCAGATTTTTTTTTGCAGGAGAGAAGCTTGGCTTTGGATAATAAGCAGAAGAGTTTATACAACATAATTTTATTTCTCAGGTGCGCAAAATGTTTGTGTTTAATGTGGAAATCGGATGTAAAGAAAATTTAATGTTTTATTTTATACCAGCTTTTCTGCTTTAAACAGCACCTCTTCATGACACACCTTTATGAATGACCCTCAGAGCTAGTTTTCATAACACATCCACATGGTGCATGTTGAAGACAAAACTTTTCTAGATATTTAGCCTCTTTGCCATGTTTTCCTTTAGCCGTTACAAACATTAATTAGTTTAAAATGTGGAGTTCATCAATACATGCATAACAACACATGTCTGTAAACTTAGCTAACAGCTAGCTTTAACTGCTAACAAGTGACAAAACACTGCATTCGTGTCATTAAAACGTCCCTTTAAAGTGTGCCATCGTTTGGAGAGTGCATCAAGTTAAAAAGTTTGTCTTATACAAAGGTCACCCGGCAGAGCGACCCCTGCATCACAGCCTTTTAGCCCGTCAGCTTTGAAAGACATCGAGTAGGTCACACAGCTGCTAAAGCTAGGCCGCGGTCCCGTGCCGCGTTAGCGGTGAAGCTCACCCTGCTCTGTTCCAGCCACCGCGTCCTCCGGCTGTCTGCCGCGAACGAGAGAAGTCGGTGAACGGTGACTGTCGGTGCGACAGCCGGTCTGAGAGCGAGGTTAACCGGGCAGAGTCTCAGCGAGGGTCGGGCGAGCGAGCGGACACACTGCTGCAGGACACGGGCCGCCATGTTGTTTGGAGAACCTGCTGCTGGATCAGAGGCAAGTAAGAAGACTTCAGGTCAAGGGCTCGAAACTGCGCATGCGCAGTACATAAACTAGCTTTTAATAAATATATAAATTATTGTTTATCTATCGATATTTTTATGTAAACTACCGAGAAAAAACACTTTAAAATTATCATTTGGAAAATAATATTTTTGAAGCCAGGAAAATTATGAGCGCACCCAGTTAAGACAATACCAATCGATCTTAGAAGTGCGCATGCGCAAAAAAACAGGAAGTGTTTTTTTTATTTATTTAATGAATTACCTTAGGAAAACGAAATTGATATAAAGTATATTAGATTCATTAGCTTAATTAATATAACTTTTATTTATTTATTTTATTTATTTTTTTTGTATGTGTGGGATATAGCATCCCGAGCCACATTTCAGTAGATGGCGGTAATGCACATCAATAAGTTGGTTGCCAACCGCCATAAAAGAGGAGGAAGAAGAAGACTTGACTTTTAACAACACTTTTATTTAAACAATTCAAACATATAAACAATTGACGTAAAAAGAGTGTCATTTAAAAATCACTATTAAGATAAAAACAAGTGTGAGTTAAAATCGTTAAACGATGAGCTTGTTAAAATGCAGTTCTCCATCATCTGACACAGTACATAAAATGTTTTTAAAACCCCACAGCTGAATAAAATCCTCCATGTTCTGTGTGGCTCTGTGGAAGTGAAACTCCAGCCTTATTCTGACAGAAGAAGAAGAAACCAATATGCCAGAGTTTGAAATATATATATTTCTAAAAGAATATCAGATCAACCATCTGTTTTCACAGTAGAAATGGTCTATTTAGATTATATAGGGGTGGCATTGATATTTGGTCATGTTGGGTTCCAGCACATGAAGGTGTAAAAGGCAATGAAAAGGCAGATAAATTAGCAAAAAGGGCTTTAGAGGGAACAATAACCATTACAATTCCTATATGGAAAGGGGAAGGGAAATCACCTATTAAGAGTAAAGGCAGGGAAAAATGGCAGAAGAGGTGAAATGAAGATAAGAAAGGAAGAGGATTATATAAGGTACAAAAATCTGTATTAAATATAATCATTAATGAGAGAAACAGAAGGGAAGAAGTAATAATGATCATATTAAGAGTGGGTCATGCCTATTTAAATGCAATTTATATTTAATAGGTAGGAAAATGAATAATAAATGTGAAGCATGTGGAGAAAAACAAAATGTAGAATATGTTATGAACTGTAAAATTTATGAACATGAAAGGGAGAAATTGAGAAGAATGGTTGGAAGGACAGGCAAAGAATGGAGTCTTAAAGTAATATTGGGAAGTTAAGGAAATATAAAGGATATACACTGATTAAGGAAAGCATTATTTATTTATCCACAGAATACAAATAAAAAAAATTGCATTTGATGTGTTGTAATGTTGCTACACACTCATGTACAGTAGGTGGCGGTATGCAGCTTAAACTTGCTTGCGATCCGCCATAATGGCAAAGAAGAAGAAGTGCGCATGCGCAAAAAGCCAGGAAGTGGAAAAGGGCCGAGCTTAGAGCTAGGAATGATAAGCATTAGACCGTTTTCAAATAATAATAATAATTGCTGTTACTAATAATTCCTGATTTTATTAATAACTATGGAGTTGTCTGAAATACTTTACAACAAAGCGGAGTACATAGAGACGGTAATAATTGTAGCTTTTCTAATATTATGCAGCTAAAATAGCGGCTGTTTTGATTAGCTGGAAGCTAATACTGGAAAAGGGCGTTGGATGCATGATTGTTTTTTTAATCATCATGTCATTTATTACAGGCTTCTGGAAACAAAGTGAGCAGGCAGTCTGTACTTTGCGGGAGTCAAAACATCGTGCTGAACGGCAAAGTGAGAGGATGACCTAAATAAACGCTTGCTATCAAAGAAGGAAATGTGTTTTCAGGGCTCTGCTTGTGTTCTTTCAGACTATTGTGATGAACGACTGCATCATCAGGGGCGATCTGGCCAATGTAAGAGTGGGCAGACACTGTGTTGTCAAAAGCAGGAGTGTTATTCGACCACCTTTTAAAAAGTTCAGCAAAGGGTAAAACATCTTTCTTATTTCCCTCATGAATCCAATTTTTGAGAATAGATTATAAATAATCTTTCTTTAGTTATATCTTAGGAGGGATCCTGCATTTTATTTCTAATGCTGCGCTAATGTTTATAATGCAGTCATGTCATGTTGGTTTGTATTAAGAGCTCTGGGTTTAATGCTTCTGTTGTTTTCCTTTAGTGTGGCGTTTTTTCCACTCCAGATCGGAGACCATGTCTTCATCGAGGAGGACTGTGTGGTCAACGCAGCACAGATCGGCTCATATGTCCACATCGGCAAGAACTGCGTAATAGTGAGTGAAATAAAACCAGCTATCATGCATAGGAACAGTTAGAAGAAAGCTGGCAGATAACTGTGAAGCTGCCCTCCAGCTGCAGTCCCTCACAGTCACATGATGATCATATCTTATAAAGATGCAGAACAGCAGAGAAACTGCTGGCAGACAGAACTGAATGGATTACACTGTTTAGGGTGGACTTTTTTATGCCTTTTTAAAATATCCTTTATGTATCTCCTCGAAACTGAAAAAAGATGGAAATGCATACAGTATTTTTTCATAAGTTCACACAAAAGCTTGAAAAGTAGGGAATAAAAGTAGAATCTGGCATGAAAAAATATTTGTACTTCCAGACTTTATTTACTCCACCATTCTTCTGTCCATCCATTTTTACATTAATCCATTTTGGTTGTCAATGATAACCTTCTGCTATCCAAGTTTTCTTGTAATCTTTTCAGATCTTATACTTCAATCCTTAAAAAACCCTGCAGAAATGAGATTTAAACATTTTTATAAATAGTGCAAAAAAAAAAATATATATATATATATTACTCATAGTAATTACAATTATGGAAACTAGAGATGTTTTAAGATCTGATAAATATATTTAAAGGAAAATTCCGGTTTTTAACACTTTTAGCCCATTTTCTGTAGTGTCCAGGATGAAATCGAATGATCGACACCAAAATTTTGACAATTGGTCCTGTCTCTGCTATTTGGCTCATGCAGAATCACCCCCTGGCTGCTTCAGAATGGCTTCCATAGTGCATGTCCGATGATGTCCTTAAAACAACCTTAAACGTTCTTTTTTTAAAATATGCTACTCACCGGGTCGTCAGCGCTTTTCAATGACGTTCCAAAAAAAGTTTCGTAAAGAAAAAACGTTCCTGTAGTGTTTTATTTATAGACTGAAGTGAATTTTCAGTTTTACACAACTATGTAATCTTTCTTTATTTTAATTGTAATTTAGGAACTCTAATAAAATTTTCAATAGTGAAACTTTAAGAGTTGATTGCTTAGTTTGTATTGGTAAAAAGAGAAATAAAATGTCTTGTCCTGATTTTTTTAAACCAGTTTATTGTTTTAAAAAAAAAAGTACAAAATAATTTATAGAACAAACTAGACTTTCAGATTAGGTTAAAGGTGTGAAATTATCAGTGTTCGTTATTTTAATTTGGCTTTCTGTGGTGCAGGGCCGTCGATGTGTACTGAAAGACTGCTGTAAGATCTTGGACAATACAGTGCTTCCTCCTGAGACAGTCGTTCCACCATTCACAGTCTTCTCTGGATGTCCAGGTCTGCAGGAACATCCACCACACATTTATTGCCCTGTTGTCCTACCTGGCCTGCTTTAACGGTTCTTTCTCTCCGGCTGTTTTCTCAGGTCTGTTTTCTGGAGAGCTCCCAGAGTGCACACAGGATCTGATGATTGATGTAACCAAGAGCTACTACCAGAAATTCCTTCCCCTCAGCCAGATCTGAGTAACACTACTACAAAACAGCTCTGCGTTCCAGTTGGCGAAAGCTCTGCTCGAGTTGCAATGGACTTTAAAGAGCTCAGAACATCATATTAGGACCTCTTCTAACTGGTCTTTAGAATATTTCTGTTGGTAATTTATCAACATCAACAAACTGCATCCATATGTATTTCATATATTTTGTTGTTTTCCACATTAGTGTTTGTAAATGAAGGAGGGCATAATGCCTCAAGATTTCCCCCCATGAACCAAATCTGTAGCAACAGATAATCAGCAATGTTAGCTGTAATAACTTTACTCCTATGTAGCTCTGCTTTAAAAGTAAAACAGTAAATTTTGTTTCTTTTCCCACGCAAACCCAATGTGTTTTGGGTGTTTTCTTTTTAATCCTTTTGAATCAAGTTGGATATTTGTGCTTGCACAGTTATTCTAATTAAAGCTTAATTATTTAAGCTTGGAAATACATGGAAATCTAACAATACATTTTAATCAGTAAGCTTTTATATAAGATTGTTGTCCAACATTAATACAGAGAAACACAGAAAAGTATGTAAGGTAATTAAATGTAATTAGAGGCACAGTGCTGATTCACTTTCTAAAACTGTATTCTGGTGCCCCCTAGTGGTTTAAAGACAGACCAGTTTTTCTATATAAAATTATTGGTATGATAGGGATGTTATAGCCTCCATGAGACCATCAGTAAATGCTCCCCTTCACGGTTTTATGATACAGAGTGAAACATCCTTTGTTCAACATCTTTGTTCCAAAAGAAATGTGCCATTTCTATTAAACCATCACTACTTGTTCCTGAAAATTTTAAATCTAATTGGCAGATGTTGGCAACTGTCCGGTGTGGGATTTCAGTACTAACATTTTACTAAACAAGATTAAATGTCTGAAAGTTTTCACTGTGAAGATTTCAAATTCTCATTTTACGAGTACAAAATGTGTCCCTTGTTTCTCATTGTAATTATCAAAAAACACTTCAGATTTATTAAAACAAACCTGTTCTATTCCCTTTCTAAACCCACACAGAAAAACCGAGTTCAGAACCATTGTAAGCATACAATTTAATACAATTTTCAATATTCAACTGAATTGTTTTATTATTTTACACTGTGAACCACACATATACCAACAATTATTTGTTAAGAATATAGATTAGCCATTTATCTTATTTTAGACAAATAAGTATCCAGAAACAGCTGATCCTAGTTTTGGCTCTGAAGACGTCCTGTGGCATGAAGTCAGTCTGATGAAGGACATGAAGGCCATGACCGACTGAGGAAAGGAACAAAAATATGGCAGCTCTAAATAAACCATAAACTAGCAAATGAGCCAACCTGAACAGGAGCTTGGAAAATATCTCAATTGAAGGTAAATGTAGGAGAAAAATATATTTTCTTATTCTCACATGAAATCTCCTTCGCCAACTTGTCAGAACGTGAACAGAAGGCGGTCATTGCTGTCAGTTTACAGCCAAACACTGACAGATATCCTACCAACACTGAAAGGAAAGTGTTAAGATACTAATCAGTGAGCTCAGATTGAAGATTTATAAAGCTAATCCAAGTTAAACTGAACTCCAGCTGACTTTAAACGTTGCATTTTGGCAGTAGAATGGAGCAGATCATGAGGCACCGTCTGACTCCTGCCAACAACGTCACCCTAACAAGAATTACTTGATTTTTTAAATGCAAGTAAAAATCAAGCTAATTATTTTATATATTAGTCCATGCCATTCCCACCTGCAGTTTTAAGCACCTGCTTCAGCCGAACAAACAAAAACAGAAAAATACATAATTAACAATCAAATTGAAGAGGCACAGCAGGGTGTGCCGGCATGCTTTAAACAAAACAGAAAATTTTTTTTTCCTAAGCATAACAATAAATAAAATGTGTGAAAAAGACATGAAGAGGAGAGCAGGAGATGGCAGACAGCAAAAAAAAAAAAAAAAAAAGAAAAAATATGTCCAACATTCAGATCCCAGGAAGGTTGAAAGTAATTTAGAAAATTCAGGTTCAGTTTTATCTTTACATATGCACCAATCAATCACAAAATCAGCATATTATCACCAGATTTGCTCTGACCCACCATAGATCTTTCCTACTCAGTGAATTTTTAACGTTAGATTACATTTTCAGTCTAAAAGCACCAACCAGTCAGAACCTGGAGATCCTTTGTAGTTGAACATAAATCTGATCACCTTTGTGGATGTTTCGGTCCTTCCAAACTAGCTAAGAATTTGCAGCACATTTTACCTTCTCTTACAATTTCGTAAAAGGGAATGGACTGTTGGGTGTCTATCGGAATATCAATAGTAAAGTTTCACGTTTGGCATAACTTGTCTTTTCTGTCACTCATAACACTAAACATCCTTCTAAGCCCTCTTTACATTTGCTTTACCAAAAATAGTCAAACTGGCTATTTTAAGTGACCTCGGTGTCTAATGTAATCCACCTTAAAGGATGTAAAACCAACAATCAACTCAGAACTGAAATGAGCCCCAGAATTATTTTGTATGAAAAAACAAAACAAAAAGCAACCAGGATCCTTTTACGCAGAAAACGCTGGCTTATCAGCCCACAGCTAAAGAGACCAATACAACCTTTAGAATAAATTAACTACGGTTTTCCACACAGGGATGGACACACAAAGGCTCCAGTGGCTGGAATCAAGTGTTTTAATTTTTGAGCACCTAAAGAGAAGCTGATCTATTTGAGATTAAAGAACAACTTTAAGTGGTTGAGTGGGGTGATGGAAGAGCCAATTTGTTTGCATGCGTTGGGGGTAAATGCTAAGAGCATGACTTTTTTCAAAAGAAAAAAAAAAAAAGGTACTTACTGCAACTGAGAACTGTCACAGCACCACATTAAGCAGCAGCTGCTCTCATGAAACGGCAGGGAGAGAAAAATCAGGGCTTCGGAGAAAACTAAGACTCAATTTTCATCAAAAATAACACAGAAGAACAAAGCTAATTGAACAGTTTGTGTTGGGTTAGCTTGGCTATTCCAGCTGAAATGAGCCCATTAATTTAACACTGGTGGTTAAAAACAAAAACAAAAAAAATCTGAAGCAGAGCAGAAAGATGAAAACAATGTGCGAACATTAAACTTGAATATCCAGCGACTAGATGTCATTAACCCAACAGACAGAGATATGGCTACGTATGCCGCTGTTGTGATGCTAGCTGAACAAGCGGCTTCGCTTTCAGGCAACATGAAGTAACAGAAAACGCAGATGGGGCCGTCGGAGCCTTAAACCAGCACAGCTCCAGCATTTTTTGGTGAGCAACTCAATTCACAGACTCCCACATGTGATAATGGCCCCCTCTTCCTTATTAAGGTGATGGGTGAGGACAGAATGAGGAGGGGAAGCACACGTGTCAGAGATGAAGTGGCTTTTTGCTCGTTGAACAGCACAGCGTATTTCCACTCATTGAGAACTGTCTACAACCCAGAATTAGTAAGTGACCTCCTTTGTCTCCTTTCCAGGGCAGCTTGGTCTGAGGAATGTGCGAGGCTGTCCTAACGTCCCACTTTGTTTCTCTCTCTGTCACAGACTGCTCTGATTGTGGATCTCTACTTAGTGTTAGGAAAGGAGACAAGGGACACAATTCATGAACAAAAGCAACCGTGAGCCTTCAGGCCTCACTTTAATTTTAAGCACAGACGCTTGGAAGTTGCTATCCGTCCCTCTCTTTGCACTCAGGCAGATGTTCAGTCAGATCAACCTGTTGCGTTTGTGCGTTGGGGAGTCCGTGATGACGTCGCTACACTGGGTGGAGTTACGTTTCCTGGTTCCTCCTCCCCCGACGGCGGCGGAGCCGGTAGAGTCCAGATGTCGGGCCATCTCTTCTGTAATGAAAGTGTTCAGATCGACGTCTTGGAGCCCATTTCGTCTGCTGCGGCACACGGGCCCAGAGCCAGAAGAACTGCCTCCACTCGCGCTCCCAGTGTTACCGCTGCTCCCGCTCACATGTGTGGGAGAACCTGGAGCGCCGGAGCGCACGCTGATGCTCGCCATGGCCCCACTCAGACCTGAGAAAGGATGGGAAGACCAGATGAAGAGAAGGAAGAAACCAAACTAATTAATAAAAGATGACAGCAAAAAAAACTAATTTACAATTTTAAAAATTCTTCCCTTATTAGCTCACAAAACAACATTTTTAATCTAATGGCAAATTATCCTATTTTTGTTTTGCAGCATAAATATTTCAAAGCCTGCTGCTCATCTGTTTAATTAGGGCCCCATGTAACCAGAGCATGTTTGTAATAAACTGCTAACATGTTAGATCTTTAAACTTTGATCAAGTAGACCTCTAACAGAATTCTGTACAAACTGCTAAGTGTTAATATGCCAAGTCCATTAAAACTCCTCCAAAAAACATTTATTAGGAAAAAAAAATAAAAAATAAAAAAATTCTTTGGGAGCTAAAATCTTAACATTTAAGCAGGTGATCATCTCTACCTCCCCATTTTTCTCAGTTGAAAGCTTTTGCATCTTTCATTTTCCAATTTCCTCCTTTAATGTTTGTGACTGACCGATGTTCAATAAGACCAAGACACCTGAGTCTGAAGACTACAGTCATAAATTACTATAATAAATTAGGAAAAACAACTAATGGCTCATAAGTAGCTCTGGTTAAACCTTTAACTTACACTTTACAAGGAGTAGTTTTTGTTCTTAATCATTCCTTGCCAGGCACTATACAACGCGTGGCAGGATGCATAATCAGTCTTACAAGAAATTAAAAAAGGAAATATCCAGAAGCCTTTAGTATTTTTAGGCAACTAAAAAAGCAAAAACACAACCGGTTATATAATAGACAAAAATATGAGAGGAACAATGCCTTCTGAAAGAGACTTTACCACAATACCGAAACCACAATCCAACTTTACTTCATGTCAAGCTTCACTTGTTTACTTTAAATTATAAACCCTTTAAAGACAGACATGGGGAATTCACATCTAAACCTATGCATCTGAACACAGAAAACAACTTCAAATCAAATAAAAACTGCTTAATTTTTGATATAATCTAATATGCTCAGTGAAATTCCCACAGCTGGAGTTAAAATGGGATCAGCTATCACTATTGGCCAATACGGACACACCCCAGCAAAACAAGCTTATCTAAGAGTGACATGTGGCAAGGAAGCAATACTGACTGCTATCACACACAGAAACAGAGTCATGTGGTTCTCAACTATATATAGCAGATTATTTGAACCTGGAGGAAAGACCTTTATTTTATAAAATCCCTTTACTGCAGATTTAAAGCATTTGTTGCGTTAGTGGATCAGCCATATGTACAATAAACAGTTTCAATCTATGTATCCAGACCAAACCCTTCTTACCGTGCAGAGCTATGGCCTCCCTGAAGGGCTGCAGGTCTGTTTCCACAGAGGAGCCGGTCTCAGCTGGAGAATTAGCCCGGCTAGGGGCCACCATTGCCAGGCGAGAATTGGTCCTGCTACTTCTGTGTGGTGGAGCTTTGCCACACAGAAAGCTTATAAGATCCTCCCTACGGATGGTTCTCCGGCGCTTTTTCACCCAAGCCAGCATATCCTGTGAAGAAAGAAGCAAAAACAACTCTTATCATTCGATTTAAGTGTGATACGTTTTTTTTGGCCATTTTTATCATTATTTCCTGTGAAAGGAATTTGCAGACAGCAGGACATTTTGAGAAAAATAAAACAGAACAGCAACAAAGACAGACCTACCTTATTACGTCGTTGGTGACCTATCTGGATGCCCCGGTCACAACTTCTCTGATGGGCTTCTACGCTCTCTGTGATGGAGAACATTACTGATCATTACTGAAAACCATGCAAGCATGGACCTAATAAAATAATGTCAATCTAAAAAGTATAATACTTGGTGGTAAACAGGATGACAGAGTTAAAAAAAAAAAAAAGATTTTCCTTCCTAAGCTGGTTCTCAGATGAATTTCTAAAAAATGATTCATAAGATCAAAGATTGCATTTTGAACATTCATTACAGCTAGTATTAACTGCATCACTTTATTCATCTGTTGTCTAATGTTAGCATAATACTAGCATCATTGTATTTTATAGCTACACATCCATGCAATCCAAATAACAGCTAAAAAAATTATTTTAATACCAGCAAGCTAATTTGACCTCAGACCCAATCAGAACGTAAAGAATTAATTTTAAATTTTGAAATTTGACACTCACCCAAATGATAAAGGTAATCAAAAAAAAAAAAAAAAAAATCACTGAAGTATCTGAGACCTTTTAACATTTTTGTCATGTCACAACCACATACTAAAATTACTTTTATTGGGTTGTTTGTGCTGAATCAATACAAAGTAGCATAACATTTTTAAGCCTACAATTTTGTACTACAAAAAAAACAAAAAAAAAAGATTAAATGTTATGAGTGTATTTGGAGAAGCCCCAAAGAGGACCGTTCAGGTTGGAGAAACTATCCAACATCTGGTGGGAACTTTATGAGGCAGGGATGCTTTGCTGCATCATGAAGAGGCAAAAGAGTTAAAAGAAAATGGATGGAACAAAGTTCAATCCAATCATGGAAGAAAACATATCATATGCTGTAAAAGACTTGAGACTGAGATAAAAAACTGAAGTGCAATGCAGTTATGAACATATTACAAAGAACATTAGTCCTTCAAAGCTTTTACATCAAGAGACTGAAAACAGATCTACAAGACAGTTGCACACTACTTTGTAGGACTGAACAGTATATTGAGAATTTCAGTGTGTGCATCATACATCATTTCTTATAAAGAAAAAGTCCAAATGGGGGTGAATTCTACAAAACTGAACAGGTTATGCTTTACAATTAGACATACATTTAATATTAGAGAGCAGGTGTTTTCTTTCCTTAACTCTGTAAATAATTTTCAGTTTCATCTGTAAAGATTTTAACTTAAGAGGTCCATCCGTATAAACCAGTGATCAATACTTTGTTTTTGTATTGATTGGTCCATCCGAAGATGGACTGAACTGGTGTCACTGTTGTTTTGGTGGACTTCATGTGAAAGGAGAACGTTTGTCAACAAACACCTCCGGACACAAAGGTCATCATTAAAATGAGAGTATGAAGTCTACACACGTTACCCTCGGTTTGTGGCAACTTAAAAAGCCTGCTGGAAGCATATGGATGTTTACCTTTGTAGAGGTTGGTTACTGCTGTAGCAGCATTCTGAAATGGCACCCACAATGACAGGCCCTGCTGGTGGCATACCCTATCTGTGGAATAGAAGAAAAATGATGGCTCATTATTCAAACTGTTGGCATTTTAAAACACATTCTCTGAAGCATAAGTGACCGAAGCAGAGCATGGTTCACTTTTAAACGCCATTTTGTCTGGCCTCTTTAACTGCAGAGATGGGGTTTGGCATAAAAATAGATGTCAGCAAGCAGCTAGACGGCCAACAGGGCAGCGGGGAGAAAGAACTTAACTGCACTCTCAGCACTAAAGTTTAAAAGGGACAAGAAATATGCATACAAGACATAACATTGGATCAACTATTTATGATTGGGATTGTATTTGTGGAAAATATAACGGAGAAAGCAGAGAACAAATATTTATCCTCGCCATCTTGCAATTTTACAAGTGGTGAAAAGCCGCATCTAAAACCTACAAGGAAGCACGAGTTTTGTAAACAAACATACGGATATGTTTCGACAGTATAATTATAAAGGACAGATTAGGAAAAAAAATCGGTTCTACGCCTAATAGCATTTGTTAACAGTGACAGTCAGCTGGGAATGTCACGTAGCTACGACTGTTGTTACCATCGCCATTTTGTAACTACTTAGCTAATGTTAAGTTAGCTATGATCTATTTAATGTCAACAAACATTAGATTTTTTTTTTCCAAAGTAGTTACTAATATTTATCAAGCTAAACTCATTTTAGAAAAATGAATTAGCCGTAAAGAAGCGTTAAGGAGAAAATGCTAACCACTGGTAAAAACATCCAGCTAACTTTAGCTTTAAAAAGTCCCCTGTAAACGCCAATACCGGCTAGCAAGCGGACTAAAAAGGCTAGGTAGCATTTAGCCGGCAGTTAGTGCGCGTCTAGAAGCAGGCTGCTAACCGACTAGCAACTGAAAATAAAGCGTTGCTTTTTAACCTTTGTACAGTTGAGCTACGGCAGTGGCAGAGTTTTGAAATAGATGCCAGAGTTTATCCTGGTCGTTGTCGGCCTCCTCTTCTCCCGGGTCCATCTGCTCGGCTTCGGCTAAACATTGCCGCTCCCATTTTGAGAACCAGTGCTCCGGTCCGTGTTCCTGTATCTCAGAGTCCCCTTCTTCCTTCTTCTCCTCCATTTAATACAACAGAGCTCGGAGGAAATTCGGTTCTAGCTTTGGATTTGATAATATCTGGGGAACATACATAAACTTATATAAATAAAGTCATAAATACTGCTTTGTATTTTGTTCTTTTTGTCGTCGAATAGCAACGCTGCCCCTCCTGACTATCTCAGGAGGCGAGCTGAGCTAACTATTTTTCCGTACTTGCCGTCGTCGGCATATATACAGGACACACAATAATGTTATGTACTCCACTCGACGTCGACGACAATTGGCCAGTTATTCATGTTTGGGAGGGCTTTAGGTCATTCCTCTCTGTGATTGGCTGTCACACACGTCCATCATCCAGAAACTGACACAATATTGCTGTATTTTATTATATTATATATTTTTAATTATATAATTTATGTTATTTATATATTTATTTTAAACGAAACTTCTTTTTGTATACACTTGTGTAAGTCTATTATAATATATTGTATTGTATTGCATTGTATTGTGTTGCATGATATGTATTGTATTATATTATATTATATTACATTATATATTTAATTATATAATTTATGTTATTTATATATTTATTTTAAACAAAATTTCTTTTTGTATAAACTTGTGTATTCAAAATGACAAAATAAATCTGTCTAAGTCTATTATATTATATTGTATTGTATTGTATTGCATGGTATGTATTATATTATATCATGTTATATTATACTTTATTATATATTTAATTATATAATTTATGTTATTTATATATTTATTTTAAACGAACACTCGTGTTTACAAAATGACAAAATAAATCTGTCTAAGTCTATTATATTATATTATATTATATTATATTGTATTGTATTGTATTGTATTGTATTGTATTTTATATTATCATATTATATTATATTATTATAGCTACAGCTTTTTCATATTTTTTTTCTTTTTAATAGTAAATTCAGTTTAATGGGAAAAAATAACTTTTTTTATTTTATTTTATTTTCATTTGATTTTCTCAGGAACCAGGAAGTAAACACAGGCAACACACTGCAATAAGGTATTTCCACATGGTAGCTCTAGGTTTGAAAGAAGATAGCTGATCTCGAATGAATATATCATAGCAACTACTTCCTATCCCTAGCTCCTATCCCTTTACATTTTGCAGGTTGGACAGTACACTATTTAGGGTAGGAAATTAACTCCAGAGTGCTTAACTGAATCTGAACAGCCTTCAGCCTTATGGACGGGATTACACAAAGGACACACCTGGATGATGCTGGTCAAACTATAAAGGAACTACAAATAACAGAAGTCACAAGAATACAGCAAACGGCTGAAGCGCTCCATGCTAAAACACTCCAAAATATGAAGGTGTGTACATTTGGATGTGTGACACAGAGCACACATTAAGACATCATGTATTTTTGTTAAACTCAGTAAGGTGGCCTGTGCCTATGTGTCCTGTCATGCAAACGTATAGATTAAATATAGTGCATAGGAACTTGCTGTTCACAAGTACTGCCAACCCACCTCGCTTGCATTTCCCAGCCTTGGAGAGAGACACTGGAGTTGGGATATAATCCTGCAGCCATGTTTCAGTAAACACTTAATATTTCACTTCCAATATATTCTGACTGGGTCCTTCCTAGAGCTCTGGCGTTATTTTACCTTGGTTCCTGAACAGCTGACATTGGCCATAATGATTGATGGAAGAGATTACTTGATTTTTCTTTTCTCTCTTCTCCTTGCTGCTGTTCTGCATCTTTGGCTACTCCCAGCAGAAGCAGTTNATTATATTATATTATTATAGCTACAGCTTTTTCATATTTTTTTTCTTTTTAATAGTAAATTCAGTTTAATGGGAAAAAATAACTTTTTTTATTTTCCAAAGAAAATGTATTCTAATTTTCTTAATTTTCTATCTGACAAATATTGTTTTAACTCAGAGACCCTATGTTCACTGTGGGTCATATAATCCTACTCTTTTTTTCTTATCTTAATGACCTCTAATTCTACACGCACTTCAAACTCTTGAAATTCCATTGCTGTCATTTCTTACATTTCAAAAAGTTATAAATTATTTTTCTTGGATCTAAGTTAAAAGGGGTAAGATTTATAAAGGATATTTGTTGATTTTAATAATGCTGAGTGATTTTGTAACATTTTATTACATTTAATGTCCTAATGTTCCTTTTATCACAACCCTGTTCGGTCTTTCTGCCATCTTCTCATCCCGTCCATTTATAAAGAAATAATTTGTTGTTCTCTACTGAGAATGTGAGACATTGGTCCAATCTTTCTATACTTAACATGGTATAGAAAAAGAGGTGTTTATTTGGTCCCGACATTGCTTTTTAATCATTGCTTTTAATACCGCACTTGAAAATTCTAGAGCTGTTTGTTTAGAATCCACACATAGATTGCTCTATCAAAGAAGGGACCTTACTCTTCCCTTTGCACCAGTAGATGCCTTATATATACGCAGAGCTTTTCTTTTACATATTACCAATGTCAGTTTAGGTGTAATGAATGCTGGGTGTATGCAATTCCACCTCAAAGTACTATTCAGTTTATTTATACATGTAATACAATCATATTCTTCAAAATGTTTCTATCTAAGAATAACTGGCTGATTGCGAGGATTTGTTGACTCTCTGCAATCATTCACACAGAGCATGCATGTAGCGACAGTGGAGAAAAAAAGTCCCTTTTAAATGAAGGAAATTCCCAACAGATCCAGGCTGAGCGCCCATATGCTGAGGCCAACTAGGGTTTGATGAGATACAAGCAGATAATGAAATAAATGAAAAAGGTTATTTGGTGCTCAGGCCCCAGCAGAAGACTTTGGTGCTGTGAATCAACATTTGCTTGAATGAGTGCCTAGAAAAGTATTAGAGTAGTCTTTTCCCAAGGCCTGGACACTGGTGGTGGAATAAGCCAGAGAATGGATGGATGGATGGATGGATGGATGGATGGATGGATGGATGGATGGATGGATGGATGGATGGATGGATGGATGGATGGATGGATGAACTGAACAGCCATGTCATCATTGTCTTTTTCATTCAGTATCAGGTTTGGTGAAGGGGGCATTGACTCTATGCAACACAGCAGAATTTTATGTCATTGTTTATTGAATGGAAAATTAACTTATGCTAAATACAAAAAAACAAGCCACATGGAGTTGTGTAAAAAAAAAAAAAAAGGATGGTTCACTACCAAAGGATGCTGAGGCTTAGACTATTTCTGATCCACTTCTCCCCCTGGCTTCCATTGTTGGCATTTTATGTTGGTATAAAATGCATAATGCCCCACTTTGGTTTGGAAACTCTAATAATTCTCATTTGATTTTCTCAGGAACCAGGAAGTAAACACAGGCAACACACTGCAATAAGGTATTTCCACATGGTAGCTCTAGGTTTGAAAGAAGATAGCTGATCTCGAATGAATATATCATAGCAACTACTTCCTATCCCTAGCTCCTATCCCTTTACATTTTGCAGGTTGGACAGTACACTATTTAGGGTAGGAAATTAACTCCAGAGTGCTTAACTGAATCTGAACAGCCTTCAGCCTTATGGACGGGATTACACAAAGGACACACCTGGATGATGCTGGTCAAACTATAAAGGAACTACAAATAACAGAAGTCACAAGAATACAGCAAACGGCTGAAGCGCTCCATGCTAAAACACTCCAAAATATGAAGGTGTGTACATTTGGATGTGTGACACAGAGCACACATTAAGACATCATGTATTTTTCTTAAACTCAGTAAGGTGGCCTGTGCCTATGTGTCCTGTCATGCAAACGTATAGATTAAATATAGTGCATAGGAACTTGCTGTTCACAAGTACTGCCAACCCACCTCGCTTGCATTTCCCAGCCTTGGAGAGAGACACTGGAGTTGGGATATAATCCTGCAGCCATGTTTCAGTAAACACTTAATATTTCACTTCCAATATATTCTGACTGGGTCCTTCCTAGAGCTCTGGCGTTATTTTACCTTGGTTCCTGAACAGCTGACATTGCCCATAATGATTGATGGAAGAGATTACTTGATTTTTCTTTTCTCTCTTCTCCTTGCTGCTGTTCTGCATCTTTGGCTACTCCCAGCAGAAGCAGTTGAGGTATTATTTTAGCTTTCGAGATAATGATTAGCTGCTCCTAGGTGTACAAAAAAAAAAAAACTTCCTATGGTTACACATCATAACTAGCTAGCAACTTAGCGGCATTGCATCCAACACCAGACATTAAAAAAAATGTAAAAAGCAAACAAAAAACTGTGATCTTCAAATGGAGGGACTGAAGTCCTATTAAAAGGTTATGGAATACCTACTGAACGTCTAAAGTGGTGCAGAATAAAAGTATACATTCTACTGAAAATACATTAATTTATTTATATAGTATCTACACAGTTTTTGGCAAAATTTTAATGGGTCTAAAATATATATACTACCGTTTGTGATGCCAACATTGACATGAAGGGATTCTGTGCTAATAAGAATAGTAGGTTGAAGACACAAGAGGACAAGGCTTACATTTTTAAAAGCAGAATTTCTTTTTTTTTTTTTTTTATGGATGATTTTGACCCGATCCCCCCGTATTTTCCTAAAAGCTTAGATTTTCTTTTTCTTTTTGTCTCATTTTGAGCCTTTAAAAATATTTCCATAGTTTAAATATAATAATAGTTTTTGTATTTTCTTTCTATGGAAAACATATAGAAATACATTATGAAGGTTACAGCAGCCCCAAGCAGAGAGATTCAAGGAACAACCATACACTCAAGTACCACTGCCCTGCATGTTTTTTGTGTATCTTTGCTGCAACATACCTTACTTATATGAATCAGCCATCTTCAGCAATTGATGGTTACTGAGGAGTCTATGTATAATTTGAATCAGGTGTGCTGATTTATTATTGTTTGGGTTAACTATGTTCGAGACACTAAATTTCCATGTTTCTTTGTGAAAAATTATAGTTTTGTTTTTTTGCATGGCGCTGCCAAGAAAAGCATGGAGACTCTGGATGTGAAGCTGTATGTGTCCGCTAGATGGAGACAGAGCGCCTGCTTTTTTTTTTCCACATTGGCGTTCTAATTTGTTTTAAAAAAGAACATAATTTTGGAACATAATTTTTCTTTAAAAAGTAATATTCTGCTTTGTCATGAAAAATATAAAGCGAGAATGACTCAAATAATGATTTAGGAATAAGCCTACTTAGTAAGAGGTTATGTGTACATATCTATTTCTAGTATTGTTTTATTTATTGTGTTACAATTTTTGCCAAAGTTCCCCCTTGTGGTACTGATATTTATTGTTTATGTATGACTAATACAACCTCTTTTATGATCATAAAAATTAGAAAAACACATGCTGTGGTATTTTGTTGAAACATCTCTTATAAACACTTAAATGTTGTATGTATATGAATTACTAAATGTTACAAAAACAATAAGGAAGTACTAAAAGTGGTCAAAGTATATTATTGATTTACTTTTAATGCCAATAGTAGCCATCTTTATTACAGAAAATGGTACGGTCCTGTTGCTCCTACCCTCTGAATCATTGTAATTACATTTTTCCTGCAGTTTCCAACTTCGAGATTAGTAATTGAGAAAGTCAGGTTCTTAGAATGCAGCATGAAGTCCAACATATATTTGTTTAGAAATGAATTATTTTATAATGCATACTATAAACACCAAACAATTTTTTTAAATATATTAGTCAGCTTTGTTTCTTTTTATTTTAAATGCATTTCCATTGCCTGTCGAATTAATCAACACAGTTTATGAGATAACAGAAACTAATTAAAGTATGTTTAATGTACTCTTTGTAGAGGATGGGTGACTACTGTGAAAACTGACTTTCTATGAAAATTGACTCTATCACAGCCAACAACGGCCTAAATGATAAATATAATTAAACAACTAAGACAATCTGAGGTCTCCTAGAATTGTGTTTAATGGTTAATAACCAACATGACTGTCATACAAAATATTGTAAATGTTGAAAGTTGTCTGTTGGGCAGGGGCGGAGCTAGATGGGGGGCCAGGGGTTGCCATGGCCACCCTTACCGAATCATTGGCCACCCACCCCTACCATTTTTTCCCTCTAATACAGATGGTGGCAGCAGTAATACTCTTAAGTGTGTCTCTGCAAGTCATAGATAAATAACAATTTTAATAAAAACGTATCAAATAATCAATTTATGTAGATATTAGTGCTTGTAAATATCAATTTAATGTAGAATGTTTATTGATACAAGTAGGTAAATAACTAGGATGGAAAAAATTTACACTCCAGATCTATGAACTAAAAGATTTATCCACTACACCTTTTATCTAGAAAGCACGGATGTTTAAATATATGCGTCTATTTGTTAACAAAGGCTGTAGGAAAGTATAGTTTGTCTTTATTTAGAAAATATGGATGTTTTGCTCGTTAATTTTCCTTCTGGCTACGCATCTGCTGTTGGGACTTGGAGTAGTTTCTCCTGTTTAACAAGGGCAATTGTTCAAATTGGAACTTGTTCCTTTACTAATTTAAAAGCACAATTTGAAGAAAATAATTGTTACACTGATGAAGAAGAAAAAAATCTTTGGTGTTTCTACTTGGAACAACTAAAGTTCCCTTTGCGGTCACTGATAGTAAAAAAATCTAATTTCCGAGACAAATTGGTGTTAGCTGAAGGTGGCCATAGTTTACTTTTGGATTTTAAAGGTACTGCTAACAATATAAAACGTTTTTTTTCCATCTTTATCTGTATTATTATTATTAATACGGAAGAGGATTAGGGCCAGTGGAAAAAAAAAGTTAACTAATTTTTTTTATTTTATTTCAGTTTAGTATGGGAAAAAAGTCAGAATTCTGAGAAAAAAGTCAGAATTCTGACCTTTATCCCATGTTAAACTGAAATAAAATTTAAAATCAGTCAACTTTTTTTTTTCAGTGGCCCTAATCTTCTTCCGTATATTAATCATAGGTAAGTTCGTTAAAATGTGAATAAATAATTCATGTTAAAAAAAAATCCTAAATAAAATGTGTTATATGGTTTCCAGTGTATGATGAACACGCTGAGCCAGTTGAACCAAGATATAAAAAAAAGAATCTGGCCGGGGATGGGCTCGTGTTTGGATCACCATGCGGATGTGACATTTCAGAGAAAGCGCGGCCGCCATTTTGAGATTTTGCTTAGACCCAACACATCACAAACCACGGGAGGAGCGGGCCGAGAGCCGCCGCACAGCATCGTATGACCAGGCACATTCCTCAGAAAGAGACGAGAGGTTAGTTTTAAAATGCAGCGAGGAGCCACGTCGGGTCGTTGAACGTATTAGGGGCTTTTTTTTTCCTGGTCGGGCTGGTTTAATGTCGGGGCCCTGTTAACTCCTCACCGTGAACTTCCAAATCGTCATTAGTGGAAACGGTTTGAATGGATAGCTTTTCCCTTCGTTCTTCCCCGGTCGTTGGACAATCGGAGGAGCAGACAGACTGGGGATATCGCTGGCAAAGCTGCTAATTGCACCCTAGCAAATGAGCCATTGTTTTCATTGTTGCAACTCTATTACAATTTGGCTGCCTAGTGTCAGGTAGCTGAACGCTCGCTGCAAAAAGGGGGGATTTGCTTCTGAAGGTGGAAGCCTCGTTTCCCGGGGTTCATTCAGATCCAATCCGTCCCCGGAGTCCCATTGCCCCGCCGTCAGCCAGCGATCTGTCCCCAACTAAAGCGCCGAAATTGGGCGAATAGCGAGCAAATACGTCCGCGTTTCTCTACCCGCTCCCCAGCTGACCTCCCCTCCTCACTCCCCGGCGCTGACAGCGGACAAGGCCGAGGTCGCAACAGAGCAGGCCCGGCCGCCAAGGCTCGACCTGTCCACCCCACCTCCGCATCCCACCGCCACACCTCACCAGCAGCCCAGAACCCGGTTCCCCGCCGAGCCTGCCCCGGACAAGGTCGAGGGTGACAGAGATAGCAGAGAGTCCCGCATCACGACAGCAGCTGCCAACATGAACCACCACCACACGCAGCAGCAGAAAGCCGGCGAGCAGCAGCTCAGCGAACCGGAGGACATGGAGATGGAAGGTAAGAAGGGTGAAGAGACCATGCAAAATGCATGACATAGTTCCCCCGGTGCATGTCGGATACGTAAAGTTATTGTTGGTGCAATCTTAGCGCATCATTACAGTAAACAACAAGGCCCGATGCTGGCTTGGATAGCCGGTTGGATTTCTGCTGATCGTGCGCTCGTTGCAGCAAACTCTTGCGGAGCTGACCTCATTTTGCGTTATAAACAAACGGTGCTTAACTCATCTTTCCGCCTTTGTAATAATGAGTCGCAAATTAAAAATTATCCTGTTTTTCCTGTCTTCATACTTGAATATCGGTCGCATAAATCATTCATTCGGCTTCGGTACCGCATTTTTTACGCTGTTGTAAACATCTGGTTTATTTGATAAATATTCGTTTAAATTAGCCATACAACCTCCATATACTAAATTATGTTGATTAGTGATAACCTAAATATTTGTAATTTTTTTTGTCTTAACAAATTAGATAAATCAATTTCAATGTAAATTAATAAAGCTTCATGCAGTCTCAGTTTTCACGTGGCAAATAAAAACGTACCTGTCTACATAATTACTATCTTGTGGTTAAAATGTAGTTTCTCATTCGTTATAGTTTTTTATTATTATTCGGCATGTAGCGTTGCTAGCCTAGAACGTGAGCGCTAGCAGCGTGTTTCAACTCAAGGCTTCTAAGTAAATGATAAAATATTCCAAAGTTAATCTAAATTACCATTTTGTCCACTATCGTATGTAAAGTCGTTTCTCTATGTACTGAAATCTTCACAAACCGAATACACATTGTCAGACAATCAATTTTAAACTAGTAAATTAACTCTGAGGCCCTATCCGTTTTGTGTCATCGCTGGTTAGCATGCTAGTTAGCAGGTGCTAACGAAGGGGGGTGTGTGGCGTTTCAAAATGGTGGCCTTTGCGATCCTGCTAGAGCGGTTGGGCCTCGGTTGCTAACCCGGTGCGGATGTTTTGCATTCCCCCCCCCATTCTATATGCTATATACCTAATATTTAATTACATGTTTAACATTGCGTGGATATTAGGGCGTTATCCACTATTTGTGTTCACAGCTAACGTTGTCCGTTAAGAAGCGGCATGTCTTTCGGTTGATGGGGTTTGCTATGTGGCTAACGGGAACGCAGATACGTCAGTCCCCGCTTATATTCGCCGCGGTGTCGTTTATGTCTTTAACCGTAGCGCTTTTAAACACACAAAGCCGTTAAGCCTCAAGTAGAGCCGTTTTAAACGTCTGACGGTGTTTTAGTTGATGCGTGACAAGAGGTGAAAAAGTAAGTTGTCAGCGGTGCGGTGAGCCAGGCCCGCACAGCGCGGGGATTTGCTGCTTCATTGTATGGAGAATCAAACGGCTCGGAGCTCTCGCCATTTTTAATGATCCTTATTTTTGTTTTGTTTTTTTGTTGGATCGATTTGCAGACAGGTAGAGCTATTGAAACGCGGTGGTTATTTTTTTTTCGAGACGTAAAAACTGCGCACTCTTCACTTTAATTAGCTTTTATAAAGGTCTACTTTAGGTTGAGACTCGTTGAAGAGGCTCACTGCGTCATTCAGTCTGAGTGATTCAACTTTATCTAATCTAACACACATTAATTATAATTATTTATCAACACACGCCCATTACATGTGAATTTAGTTTTACTAATATTGATTACACCTCTCTGATCAGTGTTGGTAGTTGATTTTTAATAGTTATCTGACTAGGAACAGGTGCACTCATCAGTCAGCCTCCCCTGTAGCATCTTGTTCATTAATCCTAGGATCCTTCTTGCAGTTTAACAGGCTCTTTTCCATCCCATCACCACGGGTTGATCGCTAGGGTGGGGAATTAGTTGTTAAGAGATGGTTTCTATTTGTTCTTGATCAAACTCTGTTATTGATGGATAAGGAAAAAGCAAAACAGACTTTCTTTCCAGACTTTAGCCCAATTCATCAATCATTGACTTGTATGGACACCTACAGTGGGATAGCTTCAAACAACCCTTCTAGAAATGCAGCACATGTTTACCTAGTCCTAATATTAACAGCTACAACATTGTACTAAAATTTACCAGCGGGGCTTTTTGCGTTGACAGAATAAAGAACCACTTCATGATTGAGCTATCCTGTTGTTTGTGACACAATAATTTGTCTGAAATCCGTTCAGTCTGCTGAATGTAAAAACATGGTTTAGGGTTAAACACAATCCTTTTCGCCTTTTTTCCCCCGCCTATGCTGATATTTGTATCAACCACGTTTTTCTTTGTTTGAGAAATGTGTAGTTTTGCAGTACACAGCAACTGATGCAAGTGGCAGGAACATTTTAAACCCTTGGTTTATCTTGATAGTCGGCTTTGTATTAAGCTTTTGAGTTTAATATAATGGGGGGGGGAAGTGGTGAAGCACTGTTTCGCTTATTGTATAATGTGGTATTTGTGGATTGACTTCATAAACGTGAACAACTCTGGTGGTATCAGGGGTTACTAGTTTTTGTTGTTGTCCAAAACATAAAATCTTAAGCAAGGGGAAAAATAAATAAAAATTAAACCTTCATTATATATTTGCTTGTTTCATTTAGATGTTTTTTGGGGCTTTTCAAGCACCCCCTTTTTAAGAGATGCCCATCTCAGTGGGACTACTGCTGGTAATTTGTAATCCCAACACCAGAGGAAAAGTCAGGAGTTTGCGTGTAAAGTTTCCAGAAACCTTTAGAAGAAAGCGATTAGATATTTAAAGTACAGGTAAAGTTTTCAAAGAGGGATGTTTTTAGTAGAGAAATAACATTCATTTTCATGAAAAGTAGTTGAAATCTTTTAGGTGCTTAGTTACGGAAATGTGTGGACTCTTCAACAAAAGTAAAATATTAAAATGAAAGTTGTTCATTTGACCCATTAAAAACTCTTGCTTCCTGAGGAGGTTAGTTTTGTTTTTAAATAAACGCTTCCCTTTAGAGATGTCCTTGTTCTAGTGGATAGAAGTACATTTCTAAGTAGCAGTAATCAGTTTTTTTCCGATATTACTTCCTGTAATAGATTAAGGGAGGAGAGATTGCTTGTTGTACAACAGCTAAATAAGGGTTAGTCTCAGTAGTTTTCTGTTTTGCATTCTATAGCAGAACTTTTAAAGGTTTCAGGCTAGACTCGTGCAGTAAGCAGGACAAGTTGTCATGCACCTTACTGACGGACTCCATTAATATGGTTTAATCCACTTGAGGAAACCAGGTCAGCTTCCTCAAGGAATGGTTCAGTAATGTTGCCAGAAGTCGGGTGGTGCCGTGTCTGGAACCAAGAGAGAGACAAGTAAATAAACATGTGCAGAAGAAATGTAGCATGCTTAGGGACACATGTTCATCGTTGTCTTTACAAAATTTGATTCCCCCCTGATTCTGCCACTTGTATTAGAGTGTGTCTGTGGATCAAACTAGTTGTCTCATTGTGATGGGATGATTAATGTTGTCCGTAAGCACAATTGTTTTTTTTTTTTTTGAAGGATTGCTTGGAGCTTAATCCCTCATTAGAACCATAATTATCATCCCTACTCCTAACTATATATATATATATATATATATATTTTTTTTTTTTTTATCCTTGCACACATGCTCTTCCAGCTGTGCTCACAATGTCTTCACATTTGGAAACACTTGTCATGCTGTCTCACCATGGTTTCCCTAACAGGATGGTATAAAAACCTCATATTTAGTTTTATCAAGAGCAGGAGTTCCAACTAAAATAAGGACGGGGGAAAAAGGATTTTGTTTTCCAAAAATGTAAATTAAATTACTCAAGATCGGGCAAAAAAATAATCTTAAGACACTTTGTGATACACAAAGTTTTTAAAAAGCCTCATCCATACAGTATTGTCATGCTCTTTTATTTTTCCTCACAGCTGGGGACACAGACGACCCCCCAAGAATCCCGGCCAATCCGGTGATCAATGGTAACGTGGCCATGGGAGATGGGCACAACAACACAGAGGAGGACATGGAGGACGGTGAGGAGATTGGATACTCACGCTGACTGATAACGTTTCTAGGAACGCACCAATCAGCTGTTTCCTTGCTGTTTCAAAGTCGTCTTAGATTTTTAGGATTACCGAAACAGGGTTATCACTTGTTTTACTTAAAGTATTATCTGCTGATTGTTTCTTTATTTGGTAATTTCTTACCTTTATCTAAACCAAACATCAAAAGCATGCTATTTATGTATGTGTATACAAAATACATTCGATAAATGAGACGAAAACGTATATTTATATTGGCATACATCCATGATGGTATTATTATATGCATTAATGACATTGAAATGAATGTCTCTGTGATTAAATTGTTGGTTTTGCCTTATATCCTTGTTTAGCTACTGTAGGCTCTTTTGGATAAGTTTTAGTAGATATAATATTCAAAAACAAATTAAAATCAGTAATTTTTTTTTTTTTTTTAGTATTAATCAGATAAGAACAGGAACTGATAGGCCAGCCGAATATCAGAAACAAACCAATAAGTAAGTTTTACAAATGAACAAGATTAGCATCTGGAGTGAGCGTAACTTTAACCAAAGTGTGCCTTTGGCATTCAGAAAATCAGCAGTTTCCTTTCTCATAGAGCTGCTTTAAAGGCTGTTTGAACATGTCTGAATGCTTATTGGACTGAACCATATATTAGCTTTGTGTGAGCTTTATGCTGACGAGTCATTCGCAGACTCTCCACAAATTGGCAGCTAAAATATCCTTGTGCATTCATGTGGAAGTTTATCTCTGAGTGGATTTATGTTCAGAAGGGGGGAGAAAATAATGCACGTCTCTGGAGAAAATTGGTTCCAAGGTGGTTCTGCTTGAGGCTTGGGTTAGAGTTGGAACCTCTGCTATTCATAATCGTTTTTAATTTTGTCCTCTCCTGCCTGCCGTCTCCTCGTAGACACCAGTTGGAGGTCAGAGGCGACCTTCCGGTTCGTGGTGGAGCGCTTCAGTCGCCTTAGCGAGTCCGTTCTCAGCCCGGCCTGCTTTGTCCGGAACCTGCCCTGGAAGATCATGGTGATGCCGCGGTTCTACCCGGATCGGCCCCATCAGAAAAGCGTTGGCTTTTTTCTGCAGTGCAATGCAGAGTCGGATTCCACGTATGTGTCTTTATTTCAGCACTTTCTGTATTTTGTATCCAACATAATCTCACTGTTTTTTAATTTACTTTACGGGGATAAGTCAGCGTTTCAAGTGGGGGGGAAAAAAGGGAAGATGTGATTATATTAAATGTTACTGTAGGGGAGAATATCTTTAAATCTCCTAAACAGTACTGTCACACAAGTGAACTACTGCACGGAAGTAGCTTGTTGTAGTTTTATTAAGCTATGATTCTACAGAGATACTAGGATTTTTTTCTATCATGTCGATTATCATCATGGATCTGTTAAGCCCTGATAGTTTTATCTATTCATAGACAGTGAAGGAAATAAGGCCTACCCTCTTTCTTTGTATCCTCTCTCTTTCGTACCTTCATATTTCTTGTCCTACTTCCCATTTCTTCCTTTCTTTCCTCTCTTCCTTCATTCAATCTTTACATTATCTTCCTGCCTTGTTTCCTACTTGCTTTCCTTCCCTCTAGATTCCAGCTTCCGCATTAAAAACTATTTCTTGAGGAATGTTTACTATATGTTCAATGAACTTTAGGCTATTATAAATTTTAAGCAGAGGGATATCCTGACCTACAATTTGTATATATTTGATGTACTTCGCAGCTCTGATGAATAAGTCCTCTCCTTCCGTTTCAGGTCATGGTCATGCCACGCTCAGGCCATGCTAAAAATCATTAACTACAAAGACGACGAGAAGTCGTTCAGCCGCAGGATCAGTCACCTCTTCTTCCACAAGGAGAATGATTGGGGCTTCTCTAACTTCATGTCCTGGAGTGTAAGTATGCCAGCCTAATGCACGTCAACATAAATGTCAGCGCTGCAAAAAAAATGATTTGTTTAATTTCTTTATCTCCAACAGACATCATTAAGCTTTGGTTTCATGACTTGCAGCGTTTATAAATATTGGGAAAACAATTTGAAATTGAAATATTGAGCTGCTTGTTTCCTTGCTACCTCCATGTCTATTCAAGCTATAGAAACCTCATTGTGTCTTTTTGGGAGGTCTTGAAATTTTCCATCCACTTTTTATTTAAGGATGTAACGGATCCAGAGCGAGGCTTTATCGATGACGACAAAGTCACGTTTGAAGTCTACGTCCAGGCAGATGCTCCACATGGAGTGGCGTAAGCAGATTTCTCTATTGAGTTTTTTCTATATTGAGTTTTTTCTATTTTCTCACTAAAGGTCATAATATAAACTTTTTTTTTTTAACTCATAAACCAGCTGGGACTCCAAGAAACACACAGGCTATGTTGGACTAAAGAACCAGGGAGCCACCTGTTACATGAATAGCCTGCTACAGACACTGTTCTTCACTAACCAGTTACGACGGGTACGGCTCTGCTTAGTGTATCTCATGTAGAGATAGAATTGAAAACCCTCTCAGTCAGTCTTAAAGCTCTGGTTTCTAACATGTCGTTTTTTTGTGTGGTCCCTTCACCTGTTAGGCGGTGTACATGATGCCCACAGAAGGAGACGACTCTTCCAAGAGCGTCCCCCTGGCGCTGCAGAGGGTTTTCTATGAACTCCAACACAGCGACAAACCAGTCGGCACAAAGAAACTCACAAAGTCTTTTGGGTAGATGCTGTTTTGCTTTTGTATTTGCTTTTTAGTATTTAAATTTTGGAAAGTCAACTTTTCCTAATGCGTTTATTTTAAATGTAAAGGTGGGAAACGCTGGATAGCTTCATGCAGCACGATGTGCAGGAGCTGTGCAGAGTGGTGAGTCCTCTGAATGGTTGTAAAAATATAAACGCAGACTTGACTCCTTCCTGAAACATTTTTTTTCCTGTGTACACCAGCTGCTCGACAACGTGGAGAACAAAATGAAAGGCACGTGTGTTGAGGGAACCATCCCCAAACTGTTCAGAGGAAAGATGGTGGTAAGTCTGTGCCGAGTTCCTGTTGATGTCCAAGTTGTCTTTTCTACTTACAGTTTTAAGAGTTGATCATTTTGTAAACAAGCTGACAATCTAGGTATAGAGGTTATTTTTACCCGTTCTGATTGTGTGTCTCCCCCCAGTCGTATATCCAGTGCAAGCATGTCGACTACAGGTCTGAGCGGATAGAGGACTACTATGACATCCAGCTTAGCATAAAAGGAAAGAAGAACAGTAAGTGGTTCAGTTTTTGCTAATTTACTGAAAGAAGTAAAAAAGAATAAATTAGTCAGTTATTTGGATGTTTATTTATTTTAATAATTTTTTTCATGGGATGAATTTCCTCTGCTTATTTTTAGTATTTGAGTCTTTTAAAGATTACGTTGCAACTGAACAGCTAGACGGAGACAACAAATACGACGCAGGAGAGCACGGCCTTCAGGTAAGTCTAGTTTGGTATCAGGACTGTTTTTGTTTTTTATTTTTCTCTTACAGCCCCACACATTGCTATACTTCTATGGATTCCATGACAGACCAGTAGGATGTAGCGCATGGTTTAGAAGTGAAAGGACAATGTTTCTTGACATTGTATACAAATAAAAATGCATTTTTTTTCTCAGATCTGCTGACTTATTAGTTTGTAGAACCACCTTTCATTGCTTTGGGATTTAGCTCTGTACATTTTTACTTCTAGAGTCTTAATGTTACTTTTCTAGTCCAACCACAGATTCTCGCTTATATTAGGACTTTGACTTGGCCAGTCTAACACATGGATATGCTTTGATTTAAATAAGACCGATGAAGGTCTGCTTGTATCTTCAGGGTGATTGTTCTGTGGAAGGGGAACCTTAACTCCAGCCCTCAAGGTCTGGTGTAATTTAAGATGTTTCCTGGCTTCTGTGCAGAGTAAAATAACAAGACTATCACCAAGAACGGATAAGGCAGTTATTTGGTTCAGGTTTATTTCGTGCTGTTTTGTAATGCTACTTTTTTATATAGTTATATTTTAGCTCATCTGACCAGATCCATTACCTCTATATAGGTGATCTGCTGCCTACATGCCTCTGCAAACTATAAAGGAGACTATATAGACCTGCTTTCAACTCTCAAGTTTGGTCGGTCTGTTTCTCCATAGAAGTCAGGTTGTTTAAGACTTTGCCTCCTCACCGTCTTATTTCTCCATCTTCTTTGCAGTAGGTAGCTGTAGGCCGCTTGTTTGAATATTCCTATTGGTTCAGGTAGATTGTGTGGTGCTGGCTGTTGTGCAGTAGGCAGTACTTGATGCTCTGTGGGATGCTCAAAGCTTGAGGGGTTTTTTAAGTGACCTCCAAGTTTCTCTGGAAATCGGACTCTTCAGGAGTTTCTTGGCCTTCATGCTGACAGCCCCCTGAAGACTTTCAGAACAGCGGAGTTAAAATGATACCCATGTTTACTAATAACTTGGAGAGATCTGAATCCCAATGTTGGCCCTGGATTTTTTTATTTATTTAGATAATTAAGAGATATAGGGGTTGAATTGCCATCTCTTGATATTTTTATTTGTAAAGTTGAAATTATGCTTTCCTTTTCCACTGCCCCTATTTTTCTGCTTAGTGTTGATCTGGTGCATTAAAACCCAACTAAATACCCTGTTTTGGTTATGGTGTTCAACATTTTTTTTTCCTTTTTCTTTTCTTTTAAAGGGATTTAACACTTAAACGCTGAATTTTAGTTTTCCTCTTGTAAGATTTTAGGACGCTAAACATCCAACATGTTTGTTTGCATTGCAGGAGGCAGAAAAGGGTGTGAAGTTTCTTACTTTCCCCCCAATTCTCCATCTGCAGTTGATGAGGTTCATGTATGACCCACAGACTGACCAAAATATAAAGATTAATGACAGGTAAGCTGGACTTGATTGTTTTCTTTCACTTCACTAAAACCCCTTCCCCTGCCCCCCCTTAAACCGGGTCGTTTCCTTTTTGGACGACATTTCCAGGGATTTGTGCCCGGTTAGGGTTTAGGAGTCTGCTCCATAAAAACATAAGTTAAAGGATGCAGTTTCTTTCCAGAAAAGGTTATTGAGTTTGTTCAGAGAGAAAAGCATGGCCTGACCCCCTGCCCTGTTATGGCAGGAATAGACGTAACTCTTATTTTATTTTTTTTGTCTGTCTTTACTTGAAAAGCTTTATGAAAGGGCATGGTTGGATAACAATGCTTAAGATTATTGCGACATTTCAAAGCACCCAGGCATCCAGAACAGATCATTTCTTTTTATTGTGTCTCGACTCTGACTCATCCTCGCTGTGGTACCGTGCACACCTGAGGCTTTTCTGCATATAAGTGCCCAGAAACGATGTGGATGGAAGCGGCTATAAAATGCATTTAGATGACCTGCTTTCCTGTCTGTGTTGATGTCCGGTTTTTACCATAATCTTGTGTCCTTAATCCCTTTTCCTCTTTCCTAACCATCCCTTCTCTCTTCACCTTGAAAGGTTTGAGTTTCCGGACCAGTTACCTCTGGACGAGTTCCTTCAGAAGCCGGACTCCAAGGACCCTGCAAACTATATTCTACACGCCGTGCTGGTGCACAGCGGCGACAACCATGGCGGTCACTACGTCGTCTATCTTAACCCCAAAGGAGACGGCAAAGTGAGTGTCAAGGAACCAATCGTGAGGACAAATTTTTTTATGCACCTTTGCACCAAACATTCAGTGCTTATTTTATATAACTTGAAAAAGCATTCATTTTAGTTTTTTTCATCATTTGTCATTTTGCAACCTTCAGCTTTTGAGTATTTTATCGAGATTTTGCACACACAAAAAAAGTGTATTAAGAACTTTTCAGTCTGTCTGAAATTCAAAGAGTCTTGGTAGCTAAAGGGAAAAGACAGGACAGGGTAAGATGCTGTAAATGCGGTGTTTGTTAACATTTTTTTTTTTTCTGTGTTTTTTCAAGTAGGATATGAAAAATTTAGAACCTTCACAGTGGCTGATTTCCTTCTTTTAAAAACCAGATCCCCCCAAATTTAAAATCTTTGCAGCCCTACTTTTAGGTTTGTATTTAAAAGAAGCTTCATTTTCTTATGTAGAGTAAATCTACTTGAACTTGATCATGGGGGATATTTTGGATTTCTTTTTTAACAGAGTTTTTACATATATATATGTATATATGTCTAAACCGTGTAGTTTTGATGTATATTTTGAATTTTACACATTGCACCTAAAAGCACCATGTGAAATAAAACACAGGCGGTTTCAGGTGGTTGAACAGAAACTATATCACTGTTCTCGCTTCTCCTAGTTCTCCCTGTCATGTTATTGAGGCTGGTCTTTGTAGCAACACTAATTACATTTGCCCAGCATACATTTTTTCTTAAGGAAGTTTTCAGAGAATATCCCAAATGACTGATTTATTGGTTGAACTCTGCTTTGTTGGTGGCGCTTGAAAGGAGTTCTAGCCTTTAGTTCTTATGTTAGGGTTTAGAATCACACTGTGCTCAGTCGATTCCTCCATTTAATGCCTGTGGTGCCAGCAGTTGTTTGTTGGTCCCTAATGGAAAGCCTTTGGTTGTAACATGACAAATATGTAGAAGTTCAGACGGTACAGTACATTTCCAATCTTCCATTTTGATCTAACCACCACTGCTTCGCTGCATCTATCATTTCATTTTTCCACTGCAGTGGTGTAAGTTTGATGACGATGTAGTGTCGCGGTGCACCAAGGAGGAGGCCATAGAACACAACTACGGCGGGCACGACGACGACCTGTCGGTCCGTCACTGCACCAACGCCTATATGTTGGTCTACATCCGGGAATCCAAGCTAAGTAAGTATGATGCTTCTGGAACGACGGAGCCTGGAGTTTATAGATTTAATTTCTATTTCTAACTTGTATCTCAGGCGAGGTCCTCCAGCCTATGACTGATGGGGACATCCCCCAGCAGCTGGTGGAGCGTCTGCAGGAGGAGAAGAGGGTGGAAGCACAGAAGAGGAAGGAACGCCAAGAGGCACACCTGTACATGCAGGTTCAGGTAAGAAGGGTCCTAAATTGGCTTTTGTTGACTTTAGTTCTACCAGGAAATTGAACTTTTACTGTATTATTGGGTTTGTGTGGCAACAAGACATGACAGAAAATGTTCTCATAGTCGATAGAAAACTCAATCTTATATCATAGACTCTTAATGGATCAACTGTGGGTTAAAGTTGGCATCAGAGCTGTGATGCTAATGTTGCTCTTCCTTCTATTGGCTGATCTTTGGATCACCTCATTGTTTCTGTGCATTAATAGATGCGCTAATGTGTCCATCATCTGAGGCTTTGCTGAGTGCATCCTCTGAAACCCAGACTGCCTTTAAATTGTGTTCTATTCTGTTAAACAAGGTTCTGCACCCAGTGTTGTCCATGAATTTGTGGCTAGCTGCTAACTGCAATTTGACATATAATCTAAGGAATTAGCAAATTGGTCCTGAAGGGTTGGAACCTCTGGCTTTTGAGCTGCAGCTGCTTTCTTATAAACTACTGGAATTACTGAAAGAGAGAATAGCTAGTATCATTTTTGTTTTCTGTTTTGGTCAAAGTGTCAGGAGTTGACCCTTTGCATGAAACTTTTTGGATGGATTCTCACTGTATTAGATGCGGAAAATAATGGAGATCGACACCAAGATGGTGAGCAGTTGAAGTAAAATAAATGTAGATTTAACTGAAGTGTTGATTATTTTAACATTGTGGTTTTGGACACAGGTGAAAATTACTGGAAGAATTTAATCGCTTCTTTGTAGCAAAGCATTATTGGTGTTTCATATTTTTAAGTGATACAAGCCTTTTTTTTTTTTAATATAGTTTGCTGTTTTCGATCTTATGAGGCCTTAAACAGCAGCGTTGGGTATGATCCCAGTACCAGTGATGGTTTGGGCTAGTTTGATGCGTTTATTTCTCTAAGGTTAAAGTGTTTGTGTGGTTATTAAGCTAACTTTTGTGTCGGCCAAGTGATGTCAGCCAATCAAGCAAATTAAGATATTTTGCGTTCACATGAGAATAACTAAAACTGTTCTTTGTATTACTGTTATCCTTCCTGGTAGAGGATGGAAAATCTGCTTTTTGATTTGGATTGAATGTATAAATGAATAAAAAGAAGAAATGAGGTATGAATAGAGATTTTAAATCATCTTTAATGTTAATAATCTAATAGGTAAAACAGAGGAAGGAACCATTCACATAGATGTTTGCAGTGCTGCTGGCTGAATACAGTACCGCCTCATCATCTTTAGAAGTTTAGTTTGTTTAGCATCCATCTGGAGGCGACTAGGCAGGAGAAACGGGTGGCTCTTGAAGCAGATGAAGTACTGCTTGAACTGCAATTGAACAGTTGCTAATTATTTAGATACATACATGCATGTTCTCTATTTTCATTACACGTTTAGCAAACATAGGCCGAAACGGCCTAAAGCAACCTTTTGTTATTGAGATGAAAACCATCTGGAAGCTATATTTATTAGCTAGTTTTCAATATTTGCTATGAACCTAAAGCAGTAGGACATTGTTCAATTGTTTATCACAATTTCAGTTATTATTGCAACATTCGTCTGCTTTATTGCACATTTTCTGCTTGCCTAGCCAGCACTCAGACAAGGTTTTCTTTTGGCCTTTTTGGATTTGTTGAACGATAAAATATAACATTGCTTTATTTCCATCTATTCACTTTTTGTCCTTCATCCTTATAGATGGTGACAGAGGACCAGTTCTGTGGACATCAGGGCAATGACATGTACGATGAAGAGAAAGTAAAGTACACAGTCTTCAAGGTGCTGAAAAGCTCCACTCTGCAGGAGTTTGTCCAGAACCTCTCCCAAACCATGGTGAGTCTCATGCTCATATCAGGTGGCAGACTTTCAAAATGAGGCAGACTTTCAAGTTTCTCTATCCTGTTAGATGCATTGTAGTCCAAACCTGCAAAAGACCTAGCATTGACTTTGCACAGGTAGCTAGACCAAAGTTGATCTATTTAACTTGGAGTTTAGGTAGAACTTAAGCCTTTCTTAAGGGAATCTTCTAAAAATGTTTTCCATCAAACAACTTTCTAACCATGTTTACTGGAGTCTTGTTGATTTTCCTGTTTGCTTACATTATCTGAATCTAAACTACCAGGAAACAACTCCTTCCTGCTACCCAGATGAGCAGAAACTTCTGTCTTGATACTATTCCTGTATATTTTTGTTAATGTCTTAACTTTTGTATTTTTGTACTGCAGGGTTTCCCACAGGATCAGATGAGGCTCTGGCCCATGCAGGCCCGTAGTAATGGAACCAAGCGGCCCGCCATGCTCGACTACGAGGCTGATTGTAACAAATCGGTACGCGTTTCTGCATTCTCTTAGAATGCTGTTTTGGCATGTGTTCAGTAGAGGTATTTAAGGAGATCCGGTTTTGTTCAAGTAGCTGTCTTAATTTAGGAAGAAATATTTTTGGAACATTTTTTAAAACAAGTAGAACTCCCTGACATTGTTACTCCACTGCTCTGACACATCAGAGGTTTTTAACACATAATTATTAGGGGTGGAAAAAACTCAACAATAAATAATTGGTTTAGTAAACGGCCACTATAATCAAGCCACGAGGTTTTAGAAGTTTGTTTTTTATTTATTTATTTATTTTTTTTTTAGATGATCGACTTGAGTGATAACGAAAACCCCTGGACAATATTTCTGGAGACGGTGGATCCAGAGCTGGCGGCCAGCGGTGCCACGTTACCCAAGTTCGACAAAGACCGTGAGTTTTCCTTATCTGTAGTCCCATTGTCTCTTAATGCAGCCTGTTTATATTAATGTGTGGACTTTTAACTTTAGTGAGCTTTTTACCCAGAATGACATATATTCTTAAAACTTGTCTCTGATGCAGTTCAACTGTTATAATATACCCTTTTTTCTTTTTTAAATTAGGTTGGTTTATATGAAAACATGTTGTCTAATGCGACCCATTTCCTTTTTACAGACGATGTCATGTTGTTCTTGAAGATGTACGACCCCAAAACCAGAAGCTTAAATTATTGTGGACATATCTACACACCTATATCCTGCAAAATAAGTAAGTAGCTTCCATTTAAAAGCTTGTTGATCTCTGAAAGTGGCTCTTTCTCTTTTATATTGACATAATTTTCTTGTGCTACTCAAGGAGACTTGCTGCCGATCATGTGTGAGAGAGCAGGTTTTCAGCAGGAAACTAGCCTTATCCTCTATGAGGTGATTTATGTTTATGTTTCAGGTTTTCACATATGTTTCTCATCATATTTTCACCAGTTTGACTTCATCTCCCTTTGTTGTTGTCATTGCTGCAGGAAGTAAAGCCCAACCTAACAGAGCGGATACAGGACTATGATGTCTCTCTGGACAAGGCCCTGGATGAGCTCATGGATGGGGACATAATTGTCTTCCAGAAGTGAGTATTGGCTCATGCTTTTCTTTTAATTTGAAGGACTTAAAGAAATTAGACTTCTAACAGTAGGCTAGGATCATAAAGTTGTTTTAATGCTGTTTGGAAAGGTGTTTTCCTTGTTTGGGGTTAATTATCAGATATCTATCTGAATGGGATTAGAAAATGGAGCAAAGAAAAAAAATTCCAAATGTCTAAAAAATCTGTCCATCTTTTTTTTTCTTTAATTTCTTGTTTCCTTTTCCTATTTCTCCCTTTTTGACAATCAGTGGTGTTTGCATAGTCCATATTTAAACCCTGACCACTTCAAACCATCTACTTTAAATTCACCTGCATGTTTTTCTTGTACGTTGAGACTCTTAGAGACTTGCTCCAAAGTCGGATGTTAATTTTTTCTTTCTTTTTATTTTTTTTTTCAAACTCGTCTGTTTTCTGTAACTTTAGCCTGTTTCCCACTTACATTAGCGGGTTAATGTAGGTTTTTCAATTAAGACTTGGCAAAAAGCTGCGTCTGAACCCCGGCTGGCAAGCTGCCCGGCCCTTGTCCCCCACGGGTGCGTGTCTGCTGACACCATCACGCTGGGCTAGCGTTAATGATCTCACCAGCATGACTGAAATCAGGAAAGTAAACAATGGAGAGCAACATGTAAGGAAGCCAGAGTTTTGTCGTGTGTGCTTTATTGTTTGGATCTTTTGTCTGTCTGAATCTCTCTCACCATTGCTGCTCCATGTTTATCGAATGTAAGCTGAGTTGTGTTGGCATGTTGGATTGAATGTGACTGCCGCGGTGTGTTGATGTCTGCATGTTGCGCTCAATAGTATAACGTAAATTAGCGGGTATGAAGTTCCCACTGTATGCTGATCAGAGCTGAGCCATTTGAGGACAATTTTTACTTGGGTTGCTTGCAGACTCATTTGACCCAGGTTGATGCGCGTCAGGGAGCCGTTCCCACTGCCAATAAAAGCCGATTGTTCCCAGGTTTAAAAATGTTTCTTAGGCCATTGGGAAAGGGGTATTAGTTATTCTATCTGAAGTTGTAGGATACCAATTTCCTAGAAGGACTGAAGCTCTTAAAACAAATATGGTGGGGATAGGCTGCTTTATCTCTATCTGATTTATAAGTTCTCATTACCTCTTCTTAAACTGGATTCATTCATGTTGTTGCTTTTTTTTTTTTTCCTCTCATCCATACAGGGACGACCCAGAGAACGACAGCAGTGAACTGCCCACAGCCAAGGACTATTTCCGGGATCTTTACCACAGAGTTGATGTCATTTTCTGTGACAAGACCATTCACAACGACCCTGGCTTTGTGGTCACGCTCTCGAACCGCATGAACTATTTTCAGGTAGAGCCGCTCAGCTTGATTGAATGCTGTCTGAATCCAGCAGCGACCTCTTTTCATCACTTCATACAGCTGACGTAAATTTTCTTTAACCTTACCCTTACAAAATAGGTGTTCAACAATAACTGGGGCAAATTTCTGGTTCAATCAAAGACAATTTTTTTCCATTTAGTTTTTTGGGTCGTTTAAAGGTAGAGCTAGCAATGTAATATTTACAAAAAGAAACCTTCTGACAAGTGTCAAGTTAGCTGCTTGGTTTATACCCCTGATCTTGTTTTGCTGTCTGTATCTGATCTGTTGAGGCATAGATGCTGTCCTGTAGGACTTTAGTTTTAAAACCTTCATCTAATATGTGTGTTTTTGTTTTTTTTTTGTCAGGTGGCCAAGACAGTTGCTCAGAGGTTGAACACGGATCCAATGCTGCTGCAGTTCTTCAAGTCCCAGGGGTAGGAGGCTTGTCCCATCCATCCAAACACACAGAGTCAATCAGTGTAACGTTTAGCAACGATACGCTTCAACAAATAGTAGACATGCATCAGTCAGGATTTTTGGAGCCAAGCTCCAATCCGCAATCACAAAAATCCATACCTGCCGATCACTGCATGAGATGCAGAAATCCTTCGGTCTAATGTACATTGACATTGTATCATTGGGTATCCAAAATATAGGAGATTAGAAACAATCATGAATTGACCATAGTTTTAGTGAAGGAGGCAGTGGAGATGAGCTTTTTTTAATGAAAATGGAAGATTGAGATAATAATGTCGCCAAAGGATGAAGCAGAAAAGCTCTTAAAAGGTTTGTGGGCGACTTAAAAACAAAAAACATAGGACCACAGAAAAGTTTTCCTGTGGTCCTACCTCTCCACCGACCAGCAATCGCATTCTCTCCCCTCTGACGCGCTGTCTGCCTGGCAAGCCCTTCATATCCTGCTGTCATTCTTCCACCTCCAGCAGTTAACTTCCCAGAGGTTACCCTCAGTCAGCACTGTCCTCATTCCCGCATTGGGACTTACTGTTTCCCCTGGAGACTTATCCGATCTTCTCGCCGTTAGCCTAGCTATTCTCGGTCAGCTGTAACCTATCCACTCTCCTCCTTAGCTGCCTTATCACCCAGCTTCTGTGCGCTATCTGGCCAGCAGGCTTCTTCGATCTCCCACTGTTGTTCCTTAGCTCCAGAGAGGGGTACGGCTAGCCGCTGGTTATGGTGCTATCTCTTCTATTTTTACACTGATTCCCCGGTGCTTCTGTCTGAGCTCAGAATGCTGTCTCCTGTTTCCTCTTTTGTCCTATGATTCTTCTCTCTGTTTTGGGCACTCGGACCAAAAAAAAAAAATGGACTAGGCCTAGCAGAAAGATATGTCTGCTCAGAATAAAAATTCATCAACAATGCAGTGACTAGCGCATTAAAATTTTGACCTTCATAATGACCGCCTGGACACCGGGCATGGCAGATCACATGAAAATCAGCTGATTGCCGAGCTTGACAGATTGACCGCTGCAAGTCTACTAAATGGCTTGTTTTTTCCCTCTACTTGTTGCATGTATAATACTGTATTGCAGTGTTGTTGCTATGCTGTGCAGCAGAAAAAGTGGTTGACTACAGAATCATCTGACATCTCAATATACAGTTCTAGAAGAGAAGAGAATGTACTCTCCTACAAAAGCCTTCTCCAGGGATCCAGTTTATGTCCAGCAGCTCTGGCTCCTCCTACTTATCTGCTGCAGGAGATCAGTTCAGAGCTGCAGCTAAATTTAAGCTCCAACCTGCTTGAAACGCTTTAATCAGCTTCTTAAGATCTAAGAACAAAAATGAAAGTTGAAATGCTCCAGTCATCATGAGAATGTTGATGTAGGATGGATTCATTGAAATTTAAACTGATCACGGTTTGCTGCACAACTGATAACATATCTAGATGATCAAAGATCATAGATTCCATTTGAAAGTAAATTTCTGAAGCAGCAGTTGCATTTTTACCTGCTTGTTTTCTCTAGTAATTTTCAGCTTTCAGAAATGTTGTGTAACCTGTCCCCCCTCCACCTCTCTTTGTTTTCCTCTAACTCCTCCCTCTCACCTCTCGCTCTTCTGTCCTCCTCTCCATCCATGCCAACTTACACATTTTCTCTCCTCCATGACTACTTCTCTACCTTTCTCCATCCGTCCTTCCTACCCTTTGTCGCCCTTCCCCCCCTGCCTGGTGGTGTGGTGGCCAGGTACAGGGACGGTCCAGGGAATCCTCTCAGACACAACTATGATGGGACGCTGCGGGACCTGCTGCAATTCTTCAAGCCCCGGCAGCCTAAGAAGCTCTACTACCAGCAGGTAGGAACGCTGGGATCTACACGAGGGTTTAATCCTGGTGTGGATAAATAGAAGCAATGTCAGAATTGAAAAGAATTACTTTGCTGCAATCCATAGTTGGCTAATCCACTTTAAGTTTATTTAGCAGGATAGGATAGTGTCAAAGTAAGAGAAGTAGGTTCACTGAAGATGGAAGAAATGTAGCTGCTATGATTAAAGCTTCTTCGTTTCAGTAGCAGCCCTGAAGTATAAATCAACATCCCTCTATTTAAAAAAAAAATTTGCGTCCTTTCTAGATCTTCTTCTTAAATGTGTTTACTTTATGTTTACTTTACTTGGACACACCTCATCGATGCTAAAAGCATTTACCTTGGTCCATTCTTCACCCAGTAACAACTTCCACACTGAACAGGATTGCTAATGCGACCTGTTAAACATTCCCGTCATTAAATGGTTTTAATGCATCCTTCAAAAATATTTCTTCCATATTTTCCCTTTTAGTCTTCCACTTGTTCAGATTAGATCTAGATTCTTGCAGTCATTGTCGTTTGTCCAATCCCAACTGGCTCTAGAACACTAGCCTGACGTAGTCCTACTCAATTCTAGTCAGAATATGAGTCTGATACTGCTCCATAGAGCTGTGATTATGGGGCGTGTTTCGAACGAACCAGGAAAAAAAATGCCTCTGCACTCAATTGGATAGACCTACAACCAATGAGAGCAACGGAGTGCGTGACGTATGTTAAGCGGCGCATAGTTGTCAACAAAAATCAAAGCGTGCAGTTTCACGCCTAGAATAAGAAGATGAGCCTTGATCGCGTTTCTCTGTTCCTCTTTTAAAATTAATTTGCTGTCGATATCTTCTAGAACAGACCTAATAGCAGAATCTACTCACCTCAACTCTCCAGCAGCAGCCATTGTTGTTGTCACCCAAGCGCGATTTGGTCACGTGGTTGATTACGTTACTGTTGATCATCTGTCCATCATCGTATAAAGCCGGCCCTGACAATTTGATTGGCCCGCCAGATATTGTGCGAGCATACTCGCGCTACTATTGAGCAATGCCAGACCGAACTTCCCGACCTCAAACGTTGTGGGCGGGACTAAGTACGGAATGGCACCCAGGCTACTAGAACACATTGCTGTGATAGACTTGCATTAGGAGAAGATACAAGACGGTTGTATAGAAATTGTACAGGATGTATGGAACGGTTCCTTCAGAATGATGCAGTTTATCATGCCTCTAATGTTGGATTTTTCTGTGTCCACAGTTAAAGATGAAGATAACAGACTTTGAGAACAGGAGGAGTTTTAAATGCATATGGCTCAACAGTCAGTTCAGAGAGGAGGTGAGCCACATATCTGGTACTACAGATAACAAGCAATCAATGCAGATGGGGAAGATTTCGGTATATTTATGCAACATATTTACTGCATGTTTTTCAGGAGATAACCCTCTACCCTGACAAACATGGTTGTGTACGGGACCTTTTGGAAGAATGTAAAAAGACAGCAGAGCTGTCTGAAAACGGCTCTGAGAAGCTCAGGTATGTGAGACCCAGCAATGAACAGGTGGCACTCAAAGATTAACCCTCCTGTCTTTATAAATACACCAAATTCATAAAAAAAAAAAAAAAAAAAAAGCTTAATCATGATGCATTATGGGTAAAAAGACTGCTGGATTGAAGTCATGGTTTTTTCTCACGAATATTGACAGAGAAACTCACTTAATTCAAAGTGGACATTTTTACATTTTTAAATTTCATGTTGTAGACATTTTTTTATTTACTGGTCAGATCAAATTGTTTATAATTGAATCATATCAGCAATTCATCTAGAAAAATATCAAAAACGTTTTAGGAAAAATCTACACAAAGGACTCCAGGTAATGTTTAATGATTTCTAGTTATGATCAGGATTAAATCATCCTGTCAGTCTTTTAAAAAAAAAACATTTTTATATGAAAGGATCCCAGTTATGTGTTTTTCTTAAGTCTGTTACCTCTCTGTTTTTTCTGATGCAATCTTCCATTTATTAGCTAATTAATATTTTACTAATAGATTTATTTGTCAAATATTTAGTTTTGAATCAAGTGATTTGATAATAAATTTAATGGGAGATTTTGAACCAACTAAGGCTAAACCTGCCGCTTAATGAGTTCTTGATAGAGCTAGTATCCTGTATTCTCCACTTAACTAAGTCAGTTGACGGTTATTTTAATAAAAGATTAATCTAAACAACTAGAAGAAAATTCAGCCCTAATGGGCTAACTACAGCTAGCTCGTTTCCTCTTTTTTTTTTTTTTTTTTTTTTTTTAAATACAACTTTTTGCTGTTAATTTTTAGTTTTATTGTGAGAAGGGTTTAATTTCAGGGTTTTATTTTATTTTTTAAGGTGTGGTTTCTCAGTCTGACCTGAGGGGCTCATGTCTCAGACAGGGATGTCCAGCCTATTGTTTGGGCTTTCTGTTTTTTTTTTTTGTTTTTTTTTGAAAAGCAAAAAAAAAAAAATCATAATTTCAGAGAATCCATATTTTATTTAATTTGATTAAAGTTACACTAAAAATGGTAGCGTTCTGTAATCCAATCAGTTTTTATTTTAATCAAATGCAACTCCATCAGCTGTTGCCTTCTCTCTTATATATTAAGATCTTCACTGTCTTTCATTGTTTTACCTTAAAGATACAAATCTGAATTTTCTTTAGGGGAAGAAGGGAGTTTGGTTTATATTTATAAGATGATCTCTAACCTTGTTTTCTGAATCATAATTTGGGTTTCTGTCCAACAACAGCCTTTTTAAACTGGGTTTGATTTTTTTTTACACCAAACTTCAGCTGAAGCTGGCATTTAGAGGAACGTTTACAAATGACTAAAATAATGATCAAAAACTGACATTCTGTCTAGAATAATGAAGTCTCGTGCTTTTGTTCGCATTACAGCTGATCTAATATGTATCATCAAATGAAAACAAAAAAGAAAATTATACGATTTTGCCTTGAATATTTTTATTTCCTCCTAATTTCCTGCATTTGACTGTTCAAAGTGTTTTAAAAGCTGCTGCTGCACATTAAGCCTGTTGTGTATTTTTTGTCTCTCCCTCTGCAGGCTGTTAGAGATAGTAAGCTATAAAATCATTGGGGTTCATCAGGAGGATGAGCTGCTAGAATGTTTATCTCCTGCTGCCAGTCGCACCTTTAGAATAGAGGTAAGTGTGTTTGAGAAGCATTTATTTTTAGCCGTTAAACCTCCTTCAGCTACAGCAGAGCTTTCAGCCCTGACCCGCTTGGGTTGCTTCTTCAGTGACTGATTGTTGTTGCATTGGTGCTTCAGATTCAGCTTTGGAATAATAAGAGTCGATAACTTAAATAAAAACACATTTATTTACTCTGTACTTTCAGCACAGCTAAGGATGTTCCTTGGTGCAGCTTTAAGCCTGATGATTCACATTCCCTTGTCTTCATTTAGGAGATTCCTTTGGACCAGGTGGACTTGGACAAGGACACTGAGATGTTGATCCCAGTCGCTCACTTCCACAAGGAAGTCTTTGGCACCTTTGGGATTCCTTTTTTGCTGAAGATCAGACAGGTATGATATAGAGCCGATGAAGTCTACAACATGCTGAATGTTTGATGTTTTCCTGTATCATGTCATTGCAATCTGTGTTTTGCAGGGTGAGCCATTTAGGGAGGTGATGAGGAGGATCCAGACCATGCTGGATATCCAGGAGAAAGAATTTGAGAAGGTAAGACATTTTGTTTGGGGTTTAAGGCTGAACCTTCCTAAACTCGATGCTAGGGTTTTCCTTTGGTAGAGCACTGCTGGATGATTTGTGGAATAAATGAAATCTGAATATTTTTCTTATCCTCATTTTAACAAAGCTGCTGTCTGGACGCTGTTTTATTAACAAGCCTGATTACTAGTTACACTGTTGCTTGATAAATTTCTAATCAGATTTGCATGTTAGATTTTGAAAAAAATAGGCTGAAAAAGTCAGGAATTTTTAAATTAGATGCTCATAGAAATCTAGCAACCAGCTCTGCACAACCTACGATTTGAAGGTGTGTGCCCCCCCCTCTCCTGGTCAAAGGTCAAGCATATACCTCTTGCCATGTATAGACATGCAAAACGTTTGTTTTGGTGTTTTTATTAAAAAATTGAAATTTGTTCTGGAAAATGTAATGCCTATTTTTTTTTTTTACTTTTAACTATAAAGAGAATTTGAGCTTTAATGGAGAATTTGGTCCTGTATATTTTCATTATACTGTACATTTTCTTTATCATAGATACTTAACACCCCAAAGTCCTCTACACTGAGATGTGTAATACTGAACAAAATTAAGATTAAAATAAGAAAGATTAAAAAAAAAAAAAGTCAAACTAAATACTACATGCTGGAAATGGTAAAATAGTTTTGAAAAACTAACCTTGGTGTTTCTTTTTTTTTTTCCTGTTAACCTTAGCTGTCAGAATGAATCAGAAAGCTCTTTGTTTACAATCTTCTATGTATTTGCTTTTTCTCAGTTCAAGTTTGCGATTGTGATGATGGGCCGGCATCAGTACATCACTGAAGATGAGTACGAGGTCAACCTGAAGGACTTTGAACCACAGCCAGGTATTTAAGACAAGACACTTTGATTCTCCCTATGCTAACTTCATTGGTTGTTTTTAATGTTTTTAGTTACAATTTCAGTACCCAGTTAAATGTTTTGTCGAATTGTTAAAAGCGGGTTTGTCTCGACTCTTTTACATGAGGTTTTTAAAGGTTTTTTAGATTTGAAAGCATAGTCTGAGTTTTTCCTAATAAAACAATGACAGCATTGTTCTACTGTAGTAGTAGCCTTTTAATATTTCCCCACTTTTCCTTGATGGGCCCTTGGCTGGTCCTCTACAGTTCCTCTTTAAACATCAATATTTGTACTAAAATGTTCTTTCTGTCATGATTAATCTAAAGAGAAGCGTCATCTCCTGGTCACACCCTGTAATTCAGTGAAAAGGGTGGAGTCTGAGTAAAAAAATGTGTAAGAGGGGGTCTCCCCAGTGGCTAGAAGTTGGAGGGGATTTCGCTGGGAGTTGGAGAGAAGTAGGTTGCCATTTGACTGGTGTTTGACTGGGAAGGATCATTATGAAGTGCTGCTACTGTAAACCTGAATCATAGCTCTGAACAGACAGTTTTGAATTTGACTATTAGCACTGTGACATTTTATAGTTGGTGGCACAAAAACAGGCAAAAAGTAAATCCGACTTGCTCAATATTTTGTATTCACTCTGGTCAAAACTTACAGGAACAACTTTAAATCATGAAGCGGATGAAGATTCCCAGTCATCCCGGTCATAGTCATTCCGTAAAAGTTCAAAAAAATCCACAGGAAGCTTGAATTGAGAAAGCTTCCTGGAGAGGTGGCGAAACGTCTTCAAACCTTGGAAACCAAGTCTAGTGGATTTTTTTTTACTTTTACGGAATTGAAATAATGAAATATGTCCAGAAAGTACAAATTATTACAAGAATGATGTATAGCCGTATAAACGAACCCTTTCATCTTTTTATTCACCCACTTAAGCTTTGACTCAAGACTTGAGCTGTTCTGATGAAAGCATCTGTTACTCAGGAAATGCAAAAATGTTGGTTTCAGATGAAAATAAGTATTCACATTCAAAGTCTTGAACTATTCTTTTAAGTCTTTTTTTATTAGTTTAGTTTTTTGTACAATGGTGAAACCTGAATAAAAGGTTTAACCTTTTCTTTTTGCGTGTTGCAGTTTTAGCCGTTAAGATTTTAATCAGGCAGCAGTAGAGGTGCCTAACATTCTGTCCCTCCACAGGTAATATGTCCCACCCACGGCCCTGGCTAGGTTTGGATCATTTCAACAAAGCTCCAAAGAGAGGTCGCTACACATACCTGGAGAAAGCAATCAAGATCCACAACTAAAGCAGCCCGCTCCTTCCTCTTCGTTCTCCTCATCCTCCTCAACTCCTGCTCCAGCACCCTTCCCTTCCCACTTTAACAAACCGTAACCACAGACTGTAACCAACCGTGTGTGTGTTTGTGTGCGAGACTGTTTGAGTGTGTGTGCTTGCTTGCGTGTGTGTGTGTTCATCACTCTTTAACACCTGCCTGGACACCTCTACAGCTCTGCACCGGCACTACGTCTTCAGCGACACAGGATCTCGCTGCAGCTGACAGATAATTCTTCAGTGGAAAATAACCGGCACCAACCACCACCTGACTGTTCATTTTCTTGTAAAATTTCTTTTTCTTTCTTTTTTTTTTTTTTTAAACAACTTCCCTTACGTTTCAGGCTGTTTGGTTCCGTTTTAGCTTTTCTACGTATTCACTGCCTGCTTTTTGTTGCCTGTCTGGAAGTGGGAGACGTAAAATTGGATTTTAAGCTGAACTTGGAAGTGGAAAATTTGAATTCCTACATTTCTTCCCCACTTCTCAATACTTTTTTTTTTTTCCTTCTGGGCTAAGGATGGTTGTTTTAAGTGAAGTTGCTAGGAGAGGAACTGCACTGCTGTGTATTAAATTAGATAAGAATATGTTTCTGCAGAGCTTTGTGGTAGTTCCTTCTCCCATCCTATAGTGCAACAAAAAACAGTATTTCCAAGTTTACACAATTCTTTCTCACTTAGTTTGGTTGGAGGACAGTAAATATGTTATTTTTTTGCAGATCTTGTATAATAAAACTAAAAAAAAATCTGCAAAACGGCATCTGTTGAAAAATAAATGGAGAAAACCAAAATTGTCTGTTTAATCGTGAGACTTGGCGCTTAATGCCGATGCTTCCTCAGGCAGGACCGGCTGTTTTTCCTTTAATTGCTGTCAGAACACAAATGCACAAATTTTGTTTTTTCCCCCCTCAGCTCCTTTCCCTTTAATAGTTTCCATCAGTCATTCCTCCTCAATACACAAACGCACGCACCCAGTCACCCCTCCACCGCTTTATCTTTAGATTCTGTCGCCCTCTAGTGGTTGAGAGCAGGAACTGCATTTTGCTTGGTCGAGCTGCACAAGCCCCTACCGGTTTGAGGATTGTGTAGAGCCAAAACCAGCAGTTTGAAACACTTTAAGCCCCCTTTTTTTCAGTTTAAGCACAGATGGAATGCATCCCCTAAACGCATAGCTGGCTCTGTAAAGACGACATTTAAGAATTGTATATTTAAAACATATGAACGTGTAAAATTAAAGAGAAAAGCCTTTTCTTGTTGGGTACAGAAGGGAGCCAGGTGTTCATATTTCTTGTGTGTAGGTTTTTTTTTTTTTTCCTGATGTACCATTGACACTTTTTTTTTTTTTTTTTGGTTACCTACAGATTTTTCTTTTCTTGGAAAAACTAAACTGCGGCGGTTTGTCTTGTCGACCTGCAGAATCACATTGATTTGATCTTTTCCGGTTGAAAATCATCAGTGTAGCAGCAGTGTACGACAACTATTCCTGTATATTGCCTTTTTGCTGGAAAAATGTATGTTGAATAAAATTTTCTATAAAAAAAAAAAAACGCAATAGAAAATTCGACTGCTTTTCCATTTGGGGCAACTTGTTGCAACAGTTTAACGGTATGCTAATTGACATTCAGTGGAAAGTTAGCTATATTTGAGATGTCATTTGATGATATGCACAAAGCCCCATATATAGGCTCTGATCAAATTAGAAGCAGATCCTTTCAAAGTATTATTTCCCTTTCATCTACCTTATTTGGAGAAACGGCTGTTTTGTGATGGTGTCAAAGGTGTGTGGGCCAGATTATAACCTTACACTCTGAGATCTTGGTTAAAAAAGAACCATATAGGCAATGCAACAAACAGAATATGTCCTCAGATGAGGCCAAATGTGGGGAATATAGGGAGTTTAACATCCTAAACACAGGAGGGAAAGGGATTTTTCTATATTTTATGTAAAGGGCAATAATGAAAAACTCTGACATGAAGGTAAAAATAGGTTGTGCTGGAATGACCCAAAGAATCACCTTAAATACAACACAGAATAAATATTTGGGTTAATGATGTGATGCTAACAGTTTTTTTCCATCTACATTTTTTTACAGTTTCAAAAAGATTTAAATGCAGGACAATATACAATGAGGAAAATAAGTATTTGAACCTTTCTCTTTTGCAAGTTCCCTGACTTAGAAATCATGGAGGCACCTGAAATTGTCATCGTAGTCGCATGTCCACTGTCCACTTTCTTTTTTACTATTGTATTAAGCAGCTTCAAGTAGGTATTTGAACACCTTAGAAAATCTATTTTGATGCTTTGTACAGTAGCCTTTGTCTGCAATACAGAGGTCAAACATTTCCTGTAGTTTATCACGAGGTTTGCACACATTTCAGGAGAATTTTGGCCCACTCCTCCACTCAGATTTTCTCTGGATCAGTAAAGTTTCTGTGCTATCGCAGACAAAAATGAGGAGTTTGAGCTCCCTCCAAAGATTCTCTATTGGCGTTAAGTCTGGAGACTGGTTAGGCCACGCCAGAACCTTGATATGCTTCTTCCAGAGACACTCCTCGGTTATCCACCCCCAAAGCATGATGCTACCACCCCCATGCTTCACAGTAGGGATGGTGTTCTTGGGATGATACTCCTCCTCCTTCCTACAAACAGTTAGTGGAATTATGACCAAAAAGTTTTATTTTTGTCCCATCTGACCACATGACTTTCTCCCATGACTCCACTTGATCATCCAAATGGTCATTGGCGGGCCTTGACGTGCTGGTTTAAGCAGGGGAAGCTTCCGTGCCATGGATGATTTCAAACCATGGCATCTTAGTGTATTACCAACAGTCACCTTGGAAACTGTGGTCCCAGCTCCTCCTATGAGGTTCTGAGATTATTTTTCACCTTCCTTAGGATCATTGAGACCCCACGAGATGAGATCTTGCATGGAGCCCCACTCTGAGAGAGACTGACAGTCATGTTTAGCTTCTTCCATTTTCTAAAGATTGCTCCAACAGTGGACCTTTTTTTTTCTAAGCTGCTTGGTAATTTCCCCCGTAGCTCTTTTCAGCTTTGTGGAGGTGTAACATTTTGTCTCTGGTGTCTTTGGACAGCTCTTTGGTCTTGGCCATGTTAGTAATTGGATTCTTACTGATTGTATGGGGTGGACAGGTGTCTTTATGCAGCTAATGGCCTCAAATGGGTGCATCTAATTTAGGATAAAAATGGAGTGGAGGTGGACATTTTAAAGGCAGCTGATATACAGTGTTCCAGGATTTCTAAGTGGGAGAACTTGCAAAATAGGGTGTTCAAATACTTATTTTCCTCACTGTATATAGAAGGAGAGACTGGTGATGGTGTGTGACATTGTTTACAAATAAAAAAAAAAGAAAATACTTTAATTTCATGAAAAGTTAATTCTACTCATGAGTTACTGATCACTAAATCAGAAAGGTTCACCTTTAATTCACATGTCAAAGCGCAATGTCAGTACATCACCATAGTTGGTGCTATGCAGAGATGCAATGGGTGCAAAAAAAAAAAACTCAAGTGAAAGTTTAATAATTTAAAGAAGAAAGGACCTAAGCAAAATGTAAGCTTTAAAAAAAGTTATTCACTTTTTTGTAAGAAGAAAGGATATTTCTGTTCAATTTAATAAAGGAGGATGTAATGAGCTTAAGCTGTTCGTAATTAAAGATGTTTTATGAATGAAACTGTAGCATCTAAATAAAACACATCAGTCAGTTTGTATAGCCCTACTTCACAACATCTGTTTTCTCAGGGTGTTTTACATATATCACATTTCTGGTAGTTTTTTTTGTGTAGCTGTTGTTTTTAGGTTTGACTGAAGCAGATCATTTCTCTCATCTCAGCATCCTTCTCTCATATTACGTAAACCACCTACATCCTCCTTCATTTCTGTGAAGCTTCTCTGTTTTGTCCGGAGAATCTGGTGATTCTGGTCTTCATCCCGTTCTGTCCAATATAGTGTTTAGCTTCAGCCAATGTAAAATAAAATCACAAGGAGCTGATAAGACTAATATTATCTACATTCATTGATGCAATGTTTTTCAGCAGGTTTAGATGATCATGTTGAGCTGGGGAAGAAATTGAGATGGTTTCTGTCCTTTTAGTTACCCTTTGATTTATGTTATTCTGTGCTAGCTGTTAATATTTATATCATTTTGAGTTATTTCTTAGTTTTACTCTTCCTTGGGGTTTGTGTCAGGTATCTATTTTCAGCATTCTAGGTATTTATTTTATAATTGCTCTAGTTTTTCTTATCTGTTATTTTTAGATTATGTTTTCCTCTGGCATATAAGATATCTATCTCTGTAAGACTGAAAAAACACTTTTTATTGTGAATTCATTGTTTTTCCCCTCCTTTTTACATGTGTTAAAGATCATCTCTTTTTTATTTGGAGCCAGCATTCATCATGCGCTGCAACTGATAATAATGACACCTTGAGTTAATATCTAATTTCTGTTGCAGATACATTCCTGCCTGATACTCAATGTTATTATAGATATATTCTGATTAGTTTTACACAATTTATAGAAAAATGAAGCCACAGATGGAGATTGTTGCATTGTAGAATAAATTAATAATTCATTACTCATAAAAAATGAAAGAAACACCAATATTCTGATACACAACACTAAATTTCACTGGGTGTAAGTTTAGTATAGTCAAGATAAATTACAGATACAATAAGTGACATTTTTTAAAGCCTTTTCATTGAACCTCATGAACGCTAAAATCTCTCAGTTTCAAAAAGTATATATATTTATTTGGTTAAAAAAGTTTACAAGCAAATTTTTGTACTGTTTGTAAAGTTGCATTTGATGAATGCATTTTTTTTATTTTAAAATGCGTCTTCAGAGCAAAAGCCTTCATTGCAACAGCTGATTTTATACTGAAGAGAACTTTCATAGCGTGACAAGATCATCAGGGATATTGTTAGTGCAAAGACCCCTAGCAGGCACTGAGTCGACTCATTCGTCAAACTCAAGAGTTTTTGCAGCTTTAAGCTAAATATTCTGGGGCATTTTAATCAATAAGTTCTTAAAAACAAGATGTTTAAGCAGATAAATTTGTAGATATTTTCTCACCTTAAACG